CAAAAGAGAGGGCAGGGATAAGTACCTTATTTTAAAAAAACTTATTTTAATATTAATAATTAAGTTTAATTTATAAATTGACTTCATATAGATAATTAATACAAATAAATTGATGTGAAAGTCTGAAAAAAGTTTCTTCATATATCATGATACAAAATGTTATATGTACTCACATATGTCACACATTTGAAACTTATTTTAACACAGGATTACTTTTTATTTATATTTTAATCTTAAAAAATGTTAGGGGAAATTTTTTTTATTTGCATAAAAAGCGAATCAATGGCCATACAGTCAAATCTAGCCAGCAAGGTGACTCTCCAGTCTCCAACACAATTAGTTTCTTCACTGTAGGTTAATTTTTTTTTAGGCTAGATTACATATATATTTCAATAGAATAGCTCTTTCATATAACAGGGGATGAAAAAAGAAATCAATCTTAGAAAAACCCAGTAAAACCCACTTTAGGGTGGGTTTTTCAGAGTGGGTTATACCCAGTAAAACCCGGGCAGGTTTTATTGGGCAGGTGGGTTTTTTGCAACCCTGGTCTTTTGGGCTGTTTTGAACTTAGTGTTTTTTTTTCCCGAACCACAATGCCGTCGCCATATTTTAAATAATTTAGCGCACCCTCTCTTTTTTAAAAATTTTTTTTTTTTATAGCTTTATAGTCATCTTTATTACTTTTTCCCACCTGGTCCCAAATGTTTTCAATTGGCGACAACTTTTCTTAAACTTGTTTTGAATGCGACGTCTTATAAGGTCCTTTTTTTAATGAATTATATATTTTTCAATTTTTTAAAAATTTTATTTACATTTTAATGAATTACAAAAAAGATCATGACAAGTAGAAAATTACGCTGCTCCTCTAGAAAGCACCACCCCGCTCACAAATCAAAAATAACTGATATAAATTTTAGATTTAATCCATGCCAATGTTGGTGCGGTCAAACTTCAAATTCTATGAACTCTAGCCTATGTGAATTTTTTTTAACGTATAATTGGAATGTAGGAAAGTGAAAATGAAGAACGTCTAGTAAATGGCGTCAGTGTTTGGTCAAGGTCTAGTTTTCTAGACGAAAAATTGCTTCCTAATTACTAACCTTGAGGATAGTATTGTAATGGTTCCACATATTATGTAATTACGTATTCGATCTCGTTTTGATTGACTGAAATGTTCTGCTAAATATATGCGAGTAACCTTAAAGTGCTATTAAATATTTTTCTTGGATCTGTATATTTAATAGGTATAAAATTTTTGAATTTACGAAACAAAATTAAATTACAGTTTTTAGCTCCCTGCCGGCTCTTTAAAATGAAATCCTACTTAAATGAAATTTTATTTTTTTAAAAAGGAGACGTAGTGTGCGAAACTTCACAAGATTTTTTTCTTTGAAAAGAAAAAAAATGCTTTTTAATTCAAATTGCTAAAAATTTTTTTTAATTCAAATTATTTTGTAATATTATAATTACAATAATGTTGTAATTCAGAGGATAGAGGGCTCTCCTCCCAATAAGGTGACCCGGATTTGAATCTCGGCTTTGACTGACTAGTCGATACGAATTCTGAACACGGTTCGCACCAACCACAGTGACGTAAGATATATTCAGTGGTAGATGGATCATAAATTAGTCCTTTTGCTAACAGGCTTACCGTTGGAAGTTTCTTGGTTTTCTTCTCCATGTAACGCAAATGTGGGGTTCCTTTAAAAATTCCTCCACGATGGCAAATTTCTCCCAATACATGATCCAGGAGTTCTCTTGCCTTCTGTATTAGGCTAAACATTACGAAGGCACGCAGTTGAACATTGGTAGTCGTAAAGTTAAAATTGGGTAGGCTGCTCAACGAAAGTTATAAAATAAAATAATGCGATATTATTATAATGTAATAGTGAAACACAAACTAATAAAATGCTTTTATTACGTGAAAGAATTAAGTTATCAGTTGATGATATAAAAACTTATTCATTGCTTCCTATCCCCGAAATTAACAAAAAATATTTTTGCACGCTCTTTGGAAGATAGTACTTCCCTATTATATGTAAGGACAGCATATATAACTATTATATGTATAATATATATATACTATTATTATATACCATTATATATAACAACAGTATTATAAGGAATCTTGGTCAAATTAGCTAGGTGGCAGAGATGAATTAGACGAAGTTCTTTGATTTCTGCCTCAATACCTTAGAAACCTAATATATATATATATANTCCGGTTTTTTAATTAACATTTCATGAATATTTTTATTTTTTTTTATTTTTTATTTATTTTTTTTTTTTTCATTTTCCGAAAATATGTCGTTTGCGTATTATTTAATATCAGATATCTATCAGTTATACAATTTATCTTTTTTCTTACTTTTACTCGCTTTTATTTTCTTTATTCCTCGCTTTGAAACTTATAGATAGCTTTTGTTAAACAACCCACTCCTACGAAGAGACGACGTAATCTTCCTATTTAAAGTGATTTCTTCACGTCTGAACTCATGAAATTAAATTGTTGTTCCTTTTATGAGGTAATCGCCTGCATAATCTATTAAAATAAAATCAACCTTGACTCGCTTTAAACATGAAATACTCAACTTATATTGACTGCTTTAAAAATAGATCTGCTCGAATTCTCTCCTTTTTTTATATCTAATTTTGTTATCGGATGAATCATTATTTTAAGCTGAGATTTTTATCGGTGCTGATATTGAAGTTAAGATATTCTCATCACAGCAGAACGTTTTTTTTTTGGGTGAAAGATAGTGCTTTTTTTCTTCTCTCTGATATAATCTATTAGTGCTCTATGCAATTATCGCTTTTTTTGAGAAAATCGATTTTTCGCCAACATTAGATTATGCCAGTGGACGGAAATTCCGTGATGGTCTGTCTGAAGTTTATCGATCTTGGCGCGCTTGAAACGTCTCTGGTGTGCTCTAAAAAGATATCCTTATTTCATCGCTTTTCAGTTTCAATTGAGAATGTACATTGAAATAAAATTTTTTAAAAAAGAATGATGCAAAGAATACCACGATACAGAAAGAAAGAAAAAAAAAAAATTGGCTTCCTTTCCAAATCCTATATTTTGTTAAAACTGGATTTTGCTCTAAGAGCTCGCTCACCTTATTAACATTTTTAAAAAGCAAATTTTTTTTTTTGTTTCGAAAAATATATGAAGAAGCAAAATCGAATATTTTATTAGTATTTTATGTTTCCGCTGTTAATTTATACGTACAGTGCACAAATAAATAAATAAAAAAAATAACGGACTTAGACCTATTGATCGGATTTTCACGTTCTAGGACTCTCTATCTTATGGTTGGAGAGGGTGACCTCAAATAAGTACATGCAGTGCAGACGTTTAAGTTATGAAATCAAACACAAAAACGTACTTTTTCTGAGTAAACATACATCCCCCCCCAACGGATTCGGATTTCTGAAATATAGGAGATCGAAAAACTCTGAATCCGTCGAAAAAATGAAGCACGTTTTTGTGTGATTTCGTAACTTAAAATATCGTCTGTACTAATCAATAAGCATATTTGAGGTCACCCCTCGAACCGTTAAGATTGAGTCCTGGAACGTGAAGATCCGATCATTAGTTCAAAAGTTATTCAGGGTGGTCCGTTTATTTTTTTGCTCACTGTACATTACTTAGTTAATCTGAAGATTAATTAGGATGATCTGTTAAAGTGAGGAATCGAAGACTTGTTTTACCTAATTATTGTACACATTATGTGTCACCTAATTATTGTACACGTTAATGGCGTCTGTGTCACCTAATTATTGTACACATTAATGGCGTCTGTGTCGTTAAATTTCCAAAATTTGTTACTCTCATTCTTTCAACTAATTTGTTGATTGATCGATTGTGTTAACCTGATTCGAATTTTTGGATATTGAAAAATAAATAATTAAGATTATGATAATTTTTTTGGTTATTATATTTTAAATAGTTTAATTCTTTGTATTATTTTAACTGATTGGTAATTCTTCTATCAATTAATGTGTTGCTTATTTGATTGTATTAACTTGATTATTTATATTTCAAAGAGTAAATAATATGTCAATTTGAGCAAAAGAAACGTTGCTGTTATTCCAACATAGATCTTATTAATTTTCAGTTTAACCTGTGCCAAGTAGGTAATGTGCAAATCATCTAGGTAATTTGAGAAATAAAATTTTTTTAACAGTAACAGATCATCCTTTGTAAATCTGCATGTTACCTAGATGATACTCTGTGACAAGAAAAATAAGAGTAATTGGTTTAAAAGATAAATAGAAAACAAGATCTAAATTGATTGTTTATTTCGGTTTCAATAATAGTGTTTTCTTCAAATTATTTTTGTTAAGTATGAAAATGGTCTTTTTAGAAATTTTATAATGAGAAAAGTGATGATATACTGGTACAACTTTGGCATTTATTATACATAGTTATTAAGATCTACCCTTACTGCCTTGATTACTACCTGTTGTTGTTTCTTATGACACTTGGACAAGCCAAGTTTGTCAGCCATTGGCGTTTTCAAATTAAGTCAGGAAGGTGCGCTTTTCGTTTGACAAGAGAGCACCACAAAGGTGAAAGTAAGTCTTAGCTCAAAACCTCCCGGGTAGATGTCAGCACCACTCATTCGTGAGGGCACTTCAATTGTTTCGACAAGAAGGGGAAGGAAATTTTCTCCAGATATCTGTACCCATGCTATTGCTCGGCAACCGGCCGCAGAACTTTTTATTCCACAGATTTTATGAGCACTTATATAGTATGTATTCGATGGGTCTTAGCAGAGACGAGGATCAAACCCCCGGCTCCTTCGAACCGGTGTCCAGTTCTCTAACCACTATGCTACCACGACCCGATACTATCTTGTTCACTAATATAAGAATAGGAGTGACATTCTTGTATATCTTTACTTTATAAAAATTGATTGCAGCATTTATTTGTAATTTCTTATAGATGAATTTTCATTTATTGGTTTTTTAACAAAAAAATTGCCTTTTTTTTTCAGTTTCTCTTAGTAATGGCCGAGGAGAAGGGCGATGAAGAGAAAAAAACCTCTTCAGATGAAAAAAAGAATGCTCAAGATAATGAAACTAGCTCTTCTCAAAGTTCACCTAAAGGCAGACGTATGTCTCAATCCAGTAAAGGCAAACCGGGAGTTAGTAAGGTTCGATTGCTAGATGGAACGGACTATGAAACAGAAATCGATGTATGTAGAAATATCGTGCACTATTTTATGACTATTTATTGTTCTATTTGATAATTAAAATTAAATAAGCAAATTTTGATTCAAAATTAATTTACCTATTAAACCCTATTCAGGGGTCTGTTTAGAAGAAAAACGGAACCTTCACAAAATATCTTTTCATAAAAACGGACCCTTCACAAAATATTTTAACTTAAAAACGGACCCTTCACAAATTTGTTTATCTTCCTTATTGTTTTGTTAATCCAATAAATACTTCCCAGGAAGGGGTGGGGAGAAAGACAAATGCAAACGAACTAAGTTTTGTCTTCAGCAGAAGCTCCTTCCTTTATTCGCCCGAAATGAATATTCTGCTTTCAGCAGTATATTCTAAATACCAAATATTTGTATGTTGCAACTCAAAAATAGTAGCAGCAATTGCAGTTTACTTTTTAAAATTTAATTTTTTTAATTATAATTTTACAGTGTTGTGCATAATCTTCACAATTTAAAAACTCCTTGAAAAAAGTTTTTTTTGCAATAGGATCTATTTGCACAAATTCACAAAGGCTGACCCTGGTTGAAAGAATGTGACTTAGCGTTTATTTTCTATTCACAAATTACGAGTAATTTTTTCACAATTTTACAAAAACGGACCTTTCACAAAATTTCTGGACTGACCCCTGCTATTGTAAAATACATTTTATGTATATATGGCTAAAATGGACGCACATACATCTTGATTAACTTTTTATTTATTGATCAAATCTTCTCAGTGAGATATTGTAAATTCGCAATGCTGGTGTACACTTACATCAGATATGAATATTGAAACCCTTAACAATACTGACTCGTTGAGAGATAACTTTGTGCGCGTCAATTTTTTATTTATTTTTATATATATTTTTTAAAGAAATAAATAGTGTTGTGTGTTATGTTGGTAGAGTGGGGGTTGTTTATAGATTTGGAGATTATGATGGTCAATTCTTAAGAAAAAGAGATGGATGTAGTTCTTCAAATCATAAGTCTTTCATTTTTATCAGGGAGAAAAAAGTTTCTCAAATCTCAAAAGAAATAGTTAACAAACTTTGATCCCCAGTTAAAGATAGATCTACCAAGATTGTATCTCATTATACATGACGTACATATTATTATGCAAGACATACATATTATTATACGAAGTTTACGTTTTGATTTTTTTCATAAAATGAAGAAAAAAAATGTCCGACTTGTGATTTTTTAGTACTTTAATTGAATACAGTGTTTTTTAGCAATGCTTTCCACATATTTTTGTTTAATCGTGCATTTCTTAAAATATGCTGACAAATCGTCATTCCAATTCGGCAATCCAATTCAATATTATTCATTCTGATTGAGGGTCACATATCTGAAATATATATCAAGCAAACTAAATTGAATAATGGTTTTTAATTGTATTGATTTGTGTTCAAAATGTCTTCCTTAGTATAGGGAAATGCTCTATTATTAATTAATGTATGTCAATAATTATTCTCTAATAAGGCTTGGATTGAAATTAATTTCAATTTTCCTTCATATATACCTTTTTGAGTTAGAATAAATGACTACTTAATAATTTATCAAAATTGTCCACACTAAGATGTTTTTAACTGTAATAAATGAAGATTAACCAAAAAATTTTCTCAAATATTATTGTTTAATAAACTTTGCTTGAATGCAAAATTAACACTTTCTAAATTAGTTTGCATATTTTTATATTTTAGAGAGCCAGCAAGGGAGGTTACTTATTTGATAAAATGTGTGATCAATTGAACATCATGGAAAAAGATTATTTTGGCTTAACTTTTCGAGACAACGAAGACGCAAGGGTAAGTTGCTTTAATTTTTTAGTTATGGTTTTCCAAATAATATTGCATTCTAAATGTGTGTCATTTTTCTCTTTTCTAGAATTGGATTAATTTTGACAAACGAATAAGCAAACAAATGAAAAGTATGTTGTCTTCTTTCTAAATAAATGTATTTCTATGATATTGTTTTTTTAGAATTTATTTTCTATTTTAAAATTCTATTTAGTTCTGATTATTATTATTTTTTGTGGTTATTAGTTTTTATGATATATTAACAAAGTGGAGAAATATTTTTTTTGAACTTTTATACATTTTTTGTAGATCTTCCTTGGGTATTTTCTTTTGAAGTAAAGTTTTATCCTCCAGACCCTGCTCAACTACAAGAAGATATAACTAGGTAAAGCTAAGATTTTCTTACTTATTAACAGAATTAGATAAAATGAAAAGCTCAGCGAACACAATATCTCAATAAATAAACTTTCTGCACACATTGATTAACTCTTGTGACTGGTTTCATCCTTGTTGCGCCACCTCCTTTTGGCGAAATTGGTTTGAAAAATCACAGATTTTTTTAAAAATGTTTACTTTTTATAAAACTATATTGATTCATACCACAGGGATGAGTTTATTAAATTGCCAAAGAAAGCTGAAAATAGAAATCCAAAATTTTTATCTAATGTATCTCAAGTTTAATTTTAAAATCGAATTACTAAGAATCTCGAGGTTTGATTTTGACATTGTCTGAATACGAATCTCGATATTTCATTTTAAAATCGTGCGAATACGAATTTCGATGTATAATCTTTAAGTCACTTAAACATGAATCATTAAAGTGGCTTTTAAATTGTGTAATTACCAAGCTCGATATTTGATATAAAATCGTGAAAATACAAAAATCATTATGTGCGAGTCAAGTCTTGATCGTATTGGTGGCTGGTCACTTTGTTCACCTTCAAAATATCTATTCAGATTTTAGGCATCAGTAGCAAAATGAGGTCTGGCATTGTCATGTTCTAGACATCAGAAGACCATGTTATTTATTCTATGTTGCTCTTCTAAGTTTAGTTAAAATCAAGCATTACTTTACTCAGTCTTATAAATTGTTTTAAACTGACCTTTATTGTTTAGCTACACCGATTAAAACTTTTCGAATAACCCTCATAAATTTCTATACTTTTATGATTTCACTTCTTTTTTGTATTATGTTTTTCTATTGTAATTTATTTAAGGAAATGTATTTATCATTCATTCCAAAAGAATCCTTTTGTCTTACACAGTATTTAAGACAGACTGAATGACCTCATGGGAAGATTATTTATTTTTTCTGTAGCTAGTAAGTTTGTAAGTACAGTAGTGAACCGATTATCCGGAACGATCAGGACAATCGCTATTCCAGATAACTGATTTTTCCGGTTTTCTGAGTCGCTACAAAAAACCGTTTTTTTTGTTGTTAAGCCCAACAAAAAACAAAAAAAAAAAAATTGGAAATAATCTTAAAAAGAAGAAAAAACAATGAAGTAATACACTAATGATTATTTCCAAAACGATGGTAAGGTAAACATCTTTCAAAAAAGAAAGAAAAATCCTAAAATCTTATGGGGAAAAAAATTTTTTTTTTAAAAAATGCCGGGAAAATTTTTTGAATTTTGTTACGGTTTTTTGGTTTTTCGGTTTTCTGATTTCCGGATAACAGGTTCTGTACTGTGCAATATAAAATTTAAAAATGTCTAGTTTTCTAATCTGCTATATTCTTTGTGTATTTTTTATGATATTGTGATCTATAATAACTGATATGCATAATTAAGATAAAAAAAAATCTTTGTCTTAATTTCAAATTGTGTCAAATTTTCAATTATGTAACGAATTGTAATTCTTTCTGGTAATTAATCTCATTTCTCTATGTATACATCTTGGTTTTGCTACTTAAAAATTTTGAAATTATGTTGAATATATGCTTATATTTGTATAGATGATTTTAATAATTTTTGTACAATTAACTATGTTTTTAATTGTATATATAATTTTAATCATTTTTATTCAATTTTTAGTTATATTTCTTTTAAATTGGTATTTACTTTAATCAGTAATATCCATGTAAACATATTAAGTACAAAATCATTGACTAATCTAACTGGGAAAGAATAGTAATAAAATCCTGAACTTAGCATTTTCAAAAAAAATTATTTTAAAACTTTCAAAATCCATTTATATGAGTTATAAAGTTTTTAAAGTATTAAAATGGATAGTTCATGTAAAGAATTACGTTATTTATTCAAAACTACTAACTGCCAGATGTTTTTTAAGGGATTTTATTATGCTATTTCTACCAAGCTTGGCTTATATTTCTTCCTATACCCTTGAAAAAGAAATGTTGTACTGTAAAGAGCTGTCACCCAAAGTTTATTAAAAGCAATAAAACAAAACTAAATAAAAAAAGTAATAAAATAAATGTAAAAAATAAATAAATGTAATAAAATAAATATAAAATGTGTGGTTGTAAGTCTAGAGGACTCTTACATATTTATTTACATCTTAATTTGTTAAAAGTATTACCAACCTTTTTTGATTGTTTGGATGTCAGTTTTGTAATGATACATTTTTGATCCACCAAATGAATATAATTTTTTTTTATTAATTTTATTATTATTTTGCAGGTATATGTTGTGCCTACAAATAAGAAATGATATACTTTGTGGAAAGTAAATATTTTTTTTAAAAAATTATTTTGTGAACTTCTAATGTTTTGACAGAGATAATTGATTATTTGTTTTTAATATTATATAGGTTACCCTGTTCTTTTGTAACACATGCTCTCTTAGGCTCTTATTTAGTGCAGTCTGAATTAGGTGATTATGATCCAGATGAGCATGTGAATAATTATTTATCAGAGTTCCATTTTGCTCCTAACCAAACACCAGAACTCGAGGAAAAAGTAGTGGAATTACATAAACAACATAAGTAAGTATATTCATTTTTATTGTGGTTATTCTAGGATAAATAGTGTAATAAGTAAATTATTTATTTTTTGACCTTACTATTCAATTTGAAAGTTTAAGAATTGTTGATGTGGAAGAAAATTAATTTTCTGCATACAATCTTGTTTATCAAATTGTGGGAATTGAAAGGAAAACTATCCTTTTGCAGATTATTAGTATTTAATAAGGCAATAACAATTTCTGTTTTGTTACTGATTTTAAAGTTAGGTTCAACGGTCATTCCTTACTAGAGACTGATATCACTCACCCATCTACACTGTGTCAATAACTATTTTAATTATTAAACAGAAATTCTAACTGTTTTAAAAAGCTTTTAAAAAAATACAGGTTCAAGCCTTATTAAAATTAAAAATTCTGCAAAACAGAGCTGAAATTTGTTTCATAAGTGTGAGACCACTTTAAATAATAATTCTTGTAGAAATTTTTCATTTGCTCTCAATTTCATTAGGTAACTTTTTCTTTATGTTAAATGACTTAAAATTTTTTATTTTATTTTGCAGGGGTCAAACTCCCGCTGAAGCAGAATTGCATTATTTAGAAAATGCTAAGAAATTAGCCATGTATGGAGTAGATTTACATCAAGCAAAGGATTCTGAAGGCATTGATATCATGCTCGGTGTTTCTGCATCAGGTTTACTAGTTTATAGAGACCGTCTTCGTATAAATAGGTTTGCATGGCCAAAAATCTTGAAGATATCTTACAAGAGAAACAATTTTTATATAAAAATACGACCTGGAGAAGTGAGTAATTTGGTTTAACTTAATTTAACCCTGATTTTTTTCAGTTATTATGACAAGAGTTTAAATCAGTTAAATAGTCTTTAAATCTTTTAATTTAATGAGCAAATTATTGCACCTTTACACCCTTTCTAATTTTTGGATTACTGTTTTAAATTGTTTTGGTTTTTTACCAAACTCATCCCCAGAAAAAAGTTAAATATGTTTATTTAATATTTTAGTCCTTTTATTGACATCAAAGATAGATATTATAATATGATTGCTCTCATAAAGAGCTTTACAACAAGCTCGTTATGACCGCAATGTCATCTGTCATTATGTGTTGTCGTTGTAATGGATTTAGACTGTATATCATATAGTCTGCTTATAGTTTGCAATATAAAGCTTCACACCTGACTATAAATATGTTAGAAAAAACATGATCCATATATTGTTATTTCTATGGCATATCTTTTATGTAGATAAAATTGTTTTCTTTTTAAAAAAAATTTAGTCTGTCTAATAGTTATCTATGTAAAAATAATATCAAAAAAACCTAATGGAAGCTAAAGTAATTTTTTATTTTTAATGTGCTTAATTATGTTACTTTGCATTTGATTTTTTTGAGTCTTAAAGTGTTAGAATTTACTTACTTTTTATTCTTACAGTTTGAGCAGTTTGAAAGTACAATTGGTTTTAAGCTTCAAAACCACAAAGCAGCAAAAAGGTTATGGAAAGTTTGTGTGGAGCATCACACATTTTTCAGGTCAGAATACAAGTTTCTTTCATGTTCTGTAAAATGTAGTTTAAAAGCTTGTAAATTGCTTCAAATGTTTAACTAAAAGTATAAATCAGAAGTAATGTAGAGTAAATACAACTAAGCAGTATAAGCAGTTATTTTTCCCAACTGCATGCCCCCTCCCTAAAAAAAAAGACAGAGATATGGATGATAACCGAGCTTTCTTCTCAGTTCAATGAACAATAATAATTAAATTGTTCTTTTAATTTAATATTCTTAAATAATAACTTTATTTTAAAAAAAATGTTACTGCAAAACACAAAATAAAGCCACAAAATGAAATACAAATATCAAGTAGAAACTAATTTTAAACCTTCTTTACACATCACCTGCTTCTAACAGTGTTCGAGAAGGGCGCCCCACCCCTCATTCTCTTTGATCCCTATAAATGCGCCTTCCTTGCCCTTTTTGTAAAAATAAGCCGCCATCCTTTCAAAACACAGCCTTTTATTTTATTTTTTCTGGAAAGGAATGTTTCCTTAACCACCTGTTTTAATATGAGATCCATTTCTGATTTATTTTGTTATTGATGATTATTTAACTTTAATTTTTAATTTCATTCCTTCATTTTAGTCAGAGTTTTCTTATGTTGTCTAGTTATATATAATTGAAATTCATATGAGATTTGGGTTCAGAGATACTCACATCTTTTATTTGGGAGAGGCGTGTATTAATGAATTTTTTTAGTGATTTTAGGTTTTACCATAAATTATTTTTAATAAATACCTTTTTATTTGAAAATGCACCTTTAAATGTTCACTTTCTCATAATTTTCAGCTTAAAATATAAAAAATAGCTAAAGTTGTTCACCAATTAATCCCTTTTTTTAATAAATTTTTTTTGAAGAAAATTTATACGCAGAGATTGTCTTTTAGCTTGTCTCTAATTATTTTTCAAAAAAGTTTCAACTTTTTCTGTTATTTTGATAATGAGTGAGAATTACTTTGTGAAATATGCACATAAAATAGTACAAAAGGGTAATTTAAAAATTGAGGATCAAATTCAGTTATTACATAATATTACATAGTTTGAGAAATTTTGATGATGTTTTTTCCTTTCATAACTCAAAGTGTCCTTTTCTGCGAGTAAGCCCCCTGCCCTTTTTTTATTCCGAGGGAGATCTCTGACTCTTACATTTATTTTACCAACTTTATTTAAGATTTTGAAACTGATGTTAGCGTTTGCTTTCACACTGCTACTTCAGCCTGTGTTTTTATTATTTTCTTTGAACAGTGATTAGAGTAAAATTTTTTACTAAAAGTGAGCATGACTAGGGGATTAAATAAAAAGACAATCTAACTTTGTTTGATAATAGCATTTAGGTCTGATTAACATTTAGGTCTCATCAAAGATATTCAATTTTCTTTTTTACCCATTCAGCTTTTTTAGTACCATTCTTTTGACTCACCCGTTGAAATTTAAGGAATGCTTAATCATTATTTCTGATTAAATGTTTAGATGACCCTGGATATAAATTTTAGTCTTGATTATTATTGTTCTAAGATAAAGATCACATGTAAAAATTAATATTTTAGTACGAATGAGTCAATGAACAAGTAGTCAAGGACTCGAGAATGGCTCGTGTTCCAAGAGGTAAAATATCTATTATACAGGGATTTTTAGTTGATCATGGTATACATATTTATTTACTCTCATTTGCAGAATAATTTTCTCTATGTCGTGTCCGAACAGTAGTATTAAACTTAGCAAATAGAAACGAATTTCAAATATGAATTAACAGTTCAAATTTTCGCTTGCAATCCTCAATTATTTAATGGTTTATAACCATTTTCCTATGTCGTTGTTAATAACATAATATATATTTAAAACTATATTTTGCCCTTTTTTTTAAAAAAAAAAAAAAGATATTTGTTCTAGATATACCTACCCTTGCAAATATTATTTTTAAAAAAATTGTTTAAAATGGTACATTTGAAGTTTCTTACATTGTAATCTTATCCTGTTTTAATTGTTTTGCTTAATTTGCTTTTTTCCACCAAGCATACTTAAAAACAATTATCTTTTTATGTACTATATTGTTACTTTATTACTTTTTAACAATAATTGAAAATGCATAGTTAGAATTAAATTTAATATTTGCTCTAAAATATTCAAAGTTTACTTGTTTGTTTGATTGTGAAATATTTCCAATAGGTTGAAGACACCTGAAGTGCCCCCTAAGCCAAAGCTCTTTTTGCCTAGGTTTGGTTCTAAATTCCGATATTCTGGTAGGACTCAATATCAAACAAGACAAGCGAGTGCATTGATTGAGCGACCACCACCACACTTTGAACGAACCCTAAGCAACAAACGCTTTGCCTCTAGGAGCATGGATGGCGGTATGTGGTGTTCTATTTATGATATGACTTTCTAAATTGTTTATTCTTGAAAATAGCTTTTATATGTAAATGAGGGTTTATAAGATTTGTAAAATTAAATGTTGAGTGTTAAGTTATTCTAGTTTTTTAAATCATTGTTGGATATACTTTTGGGTATACTGTTGGATGTATATTAAATATATTTTTGTAAAAAATATATTTAAATAAAATTGTTTAAAATTTTATAATTTGTATTTTAATTAAGCTAATTAAATTATGTTGTATTAGGGTTGCAAAACCTTTTTTGAAAAAGTCAGAGGCTTTCAAAGCCTATGGCATTATAAGGCATTTTAGTGTTAATCTCTGTGGCAGATTTTTTCAAGCTTTCTGTGACAATTCTCTCTAGAACTAATACCTCTCTGAAAGACATTTTTTATAGTAGCAATATGTTACTAATTTAAAGTGGCAAAAGTGTTTCCCGTTTGCAGAAAGAAAAAGAAAGCCTTCATGTATAGAATAGAACAGTATAAAAATTTTTTTAATTACAAATTTAAGAAATTTTGTTTTAGTTTTTTTAGTCTAAAATTTTTTTTTAGTAAACAAAAAATACATATTCTAATATTGGCGACATTCTCCTGTTCTAAAAAATATTTGTATGGTTAACTTTTTTAAAATTTTTGTGATTTGGAAATTATTTTTTATAATATCAATCTGAAATTCTGGCTAAAGCCAGGCATTGCAAAATTTTTTTATTCTCAAAGAAAGTAAGAAAAGAAAAAAAAATCCTGAGCGTTTCCTCCGATATGTAAGAGAGACATTTTTTAAAAATAATTCTGCAGAAGGGAAATAAAAAGTTATACTAAATAAATGTATATCAAAAAAATTCTGAAAAAAATACAAAACTTTTTTACTTCCCAAATAAAAGAAATCTTTCTCTAAGAACAATAACGTTCTGCGGCAGTGTCGCAGTTTCACCATGATTCAGCCACGGGGTGTTAATTTTTTGGTAACAATAAAGTGGGTAAAAATTGAAAGATATGGTACATAAAAAAAAAAGAGTAAATATGCTTTTTTTTTAAAATTTGGAAATGCTCCTTGTACCATTAAACTTCACTTTGAACTCTACCCAACCTACTGCTTTCCTCAATAGAATAATTTTTGGACCACAGGTTATGCAACTCTAATTGTATAATATAAAGATAGTAACTGAAATGTTAAATGCTTTAATTGAGATATTTATTATTGAAATCAGCTTGATTGACTTTTTTGTATGAAAGACAAGCGATCTTTTGGGATACAATTCTGATTAAGTAATGTCAGCTTTAATATCGCAAATAGTATATTAATAAAAACCTACACTTTCTTCAACGAGAATTGAGAGGAAATAATGAAAAGGTTTGCTGCTTCTTATCGGCACCCTTAACTACGTCTGCCAGTTTCTTTTCTTACTTACCATTGCTCAGATTAGTGGTGTTTGTCAAATTCTATGTCAAACAAGCGCAGGTTATACCTATACTCTGTTGCATGTTAAGGAAAAAAACCATTATATTTAAAAATTATATCTAAAAATATAAGTCTTTGTTTGCATTTAAAGAAACTGATTATGAAAGAATAATAAATATTGTTTTTTGCTGATGATTTTCTTCTAAAGCAAAATAAAAGTTTAAAAAAAATCTTTATCTCGCATTTGATTTGTTAAGAGCATGTCAGCATAAGATGTGCCATTTTTAGCGGTCCAATCAAATCCAGTGCTCTTGCAATATCATATAGTTGTTACTTTTCCAAGATACCCTTTTTTAATAATTCTATGATATATATCATAAAAGGTAGCACTAATGATGGATATTTATATGGATATTTGAAAGGATATTTATATAATTTGATAACTAAATTAAATGGACTAACTATATGCAGTCGTGGATGATTACTTAAATCCTATACCTTAATGGTCTTTTCTCACCATTCAAAAGAATATATTGTCCGTCACCTTTGCTTACTTTTGCTGTCAGTTCTTCCTGAACAAAGTATCGATGGATTTCGGTGCCACAAGATGCAAGGGTTAGGTGACAGAGACAGTAAAAACAGAGATGTCAATCTGTGTCTCTATTTGTATTATCTCTTTTTTTACCTCCCTGCAAATTAATAATGCTGATGAAAGGATTTGCACAGAAAAGTGTCTTGGTTTTAATCAATATACTATTTGTGATTATATTTTTGTTTCAACAGAATCATAAACTTCCCATTTTGTATCTTTTCCTGATCAAAAGTAGCTCTTTAGTTTGTAGATGAGATGTGTATATCTCTTTTAAAATTTCCGAAAAAGGATCAGGCTGGTTTTCTTACTGAATGTCCCAAGTATTTATATGATTCTCTTTAGAGTGGCTGTAACATGTTTAGCTCTTAACATTCTCCTTATTACTTACCCTTGGCTTTAGTACAATGTACAATATTTCTAAGTGAAACGCTAAATATTTAGTTTTGAAATAAGTAATGTATGAAAAAAAGAAGTAGTATTTCAAATAAAACCTCTTTAAATCTAAGGATCTGAATTTCAAAATGATAATTTAGAAAAAAAGTATTTTATTTATTTCATCAAAGAATATCTTTAAAAATTTTCTGCCTAAGTAACATTAGATTATTATTTAGCTTCTCAATCAATTTTAAATTAAATTAATATGGCATTAATAATTAATAAAACCACATGAACAGATAGTGTCCTCAGATAGTGTACCATATCAATTTACCTGAAAAATTAATAATTACTAATATTAATGCAGTATTGTTAAAGTTGCCAGCATCAATTTAAAACATCATTTGGTTTGGCATATTGCGTTTTATTTGAACCTTGTGCCAATCAAATCCCTCGTGATTAAATTATATTTTTAAAACTATTTAATTCTGAAATTTAGACAACAGGATGTAAAATATTTCAATTAAATATTCCTTACCCTTTTGTTTGTTGGCAAAAGCATGCTACGTTCTAAGTGTTGAAGTTCAGCTTTTAAAGTATTGTTGCTGTTTTTCTCTGATCTCTTCTTTCTCGAAGTATTGTTTGGTAAATTTGCTTTGAGCTTTTCTTGCATCTATGCATTCCAAAAAATATTTATTATACATATTACACTGACTTGAAAGCTGTTTTTGTAATGTGAACATAAAATATCTAAACTAATTAACCCCACCTATTAAAACCAGAAATTTTATAAATAAAGAAAATATTGTTAACGATCTTTAAATTAATTTTGTTAATCTATTTTATTATTAAATAGGCATTATTTTGTAGTTAGGTTATTCTAAAACAAATAGTAACATAAATTATTAACTTTATTTAAAATTGATTATTGTAAGAGAATTTAAAATTTTGCACTTTTTAAAATACTTCGTGATTTGTAAGAAAAAAGTGTCTCTAAAAATCTGAATCTATAATACAGTACTGACACTTGAATGTAGTATTGATACAGTATTGACAATGAATGTATATTTTTAATAGTCTTGAAGTATTTATTAATTCAAGTTAGAATATTTTATTTAGTCATTTGTTCTAAATCTATATATTTATGATGTTACTCTAACACTTAAACTATACTGAGTTAAAACAATGTCTTTGGTCATTTTATAAAACCTGTTGAGCTATTTATATCGTTAAAAAGACCCAAACTGTTTAGATTAAATGTGTATTTAATAGTAATTTTAAGCTCTATTAAATAGATGCAGAATAATGGATGAATGCAAGCTAAATAAAATATGCCTGTTTGTAATATATTAAAAAAATATAATTCTTCAAAAATATCATAATTGTAGGCATTTGGCTGTTGGCAGAATGCATTTCTTTAAAACATATTAGCTTATGTAAGCAATTTAATGTTAGCCTCTCTGCTAGAATTGATATGCATGTTTTTGTGTGTTTACTTACCTGCTTTGCTGTTGCCCTATCCTTTTCCCTCTTTGAACTGTGTGTGCCTTCCCAGCCCCAGGCTACTCTAGAGAGCGCCCCTCTCCTACACAAAGACCAGACGAAAGCAAGCGCCACACTCTTTCAGGTCCTCCCAGCAGCAGAGGCTACCCCAGCGATGAGAAGATAGACGAGACTGCTTCATCCCTCACCAACACTCCGGAAGAAAGTTCCCGATCCGAAAAGATTAAAGAAGTGGAAGTGGAAAGAAAAAGCAAGGTATGTTGAAATGACGTCACAATTTTCAATCACAATAGTTTGTCTAACTTTCAATTTATTTATTTGGTACAATAAATAAATACTGAGTCAGAGTTTAATAAAAAGAAAAAGGTACTGTCTACAATTGTTGAGACAATTGCTCGTTTGTGACACTAGTCAGACAATAGGATGCTTGTAAAGAACCATTGGCGGTTTGGAACAGTTGCCCCAGCACATCTTATCTGACATTTTAACAACACAGTTAAGCTTAATAGATTGATTCCAATTGAACTTATTAACTTTTTTTTCAGAATAACTATCTTTTTTTAGTCATACTTAAGAATTGAAGAGCTTCTAGTAGGAAAGGAATTCTAGAGGGAGAAGTTATATTTTTGTAAAAGATTCTGACTTTTGAAAGATTTATTTAACTATATAACTTTCTTATTTTGTCAAAATTTAAATTTTGCAGATCTCAGTGAAGGTAAATTTTGAATGTTTTCAAAGTAAAAGTATTTTTCTCAAATGCATTCAGAAACTAACACTTGACTTCAAATAAAAAAAAAAATTCTGCAACTAATTAAAGTGTGAAGTTATGACACAAACAGTTAAAATTAATATTAGTGATTTATAATATTGCCAGATTAGTGATTTATAAATATTGCCAAACGTAACGGGATAAGGAGAAATTTGAGTCCATTAATGGCTAATGGCTCCTTTACGAAACTTTTCATCATGACAAAGAACTCTTCACAAAATAGTGAAATGTCGTTCCTTAAAAAAATCTCTACTAAAAACAGCTCTAATTTATAATTTTGAAACAAAAACTCTTGAAAAGTGTATTTTTTTTCTCTCTCTCTTAGAACAAAATTATATTTCTAATCATTCAGAAAATTATGAGTAGAGTTTTCACTAATACAGACTTTTTACAAAAGGTTTAAAACAACCACTAGTTTTTATAATTTTTTTAAAACAAAAATCAGATCCATATTTTAACATATGTAAAGATTGTGAGTAAATTTTCACGATTTCATGAAGAACGGACCTGTCACAAAATGTCAGGACAAAATCTCTGAGGAAGTATACTGAGTATATATTACTATACACAGTGTATAAAAGTTAAAGCTAATTGACTCAAATCCCATTGAGTGCCACTTAAAATCTTCATATTTTCAGCTCTTCAAGTTTGTTTAAGTTTGATATTTATTAATGGTATAATCATGTAATATGTTAATTTAACTTTGTTTCTTTAAGAAACCTATTGGAGGTGTTGCTGTAATGTTACCAATGGATTTGCCGAAACCTAGAGGAAAATCTCCGATACCACCTGAAGTTCCGGAAAAGCCAGAGAGGACAGAAGTGAAAACTTTAACTCAAGAGCCTTATAAAAAAGCGGTTGTGGAAGAGGTTTGTTGTGTCTTTTTGTTAATATTCTAAGTCTATTTTTTTAAAAAAAATCTTACTGTATATTTGAAAAGAATAAAAGGAATTAGCATTTCAACAAACTTTTTTATATTTTTCCTTCTTTTAAAGCTTGTGCCATTCAGGTGGGAATAAAGAGGTTTTCTATCTTAATTTCAATTTTGCTAATAAATATTTTGTTATGTTATAAAATTTTGAAAATTGTTTGTAGTGTAAAAATCTGAGTTAATTAGTGTAATAAATAAATTACTAAAATTTGGTTGGTTGGGTAGCTGCAAAGCAAACCAATTGTTTTCCTATGCTACTCATTTAGGAAACAGCAGTTGAAGCTTCCGCTTTAAAACAAAAATAACTGGAATAATATAATAACAAAAATAGCTGGTTACATTAAATGAGATTTAATTTATATGTTCATTTGATTCAATTCTTCATTTCAAGAAGTAATTTATGTGTTCTTAATTCTATCTTTTCAAAATTAATTTATGTTTGAAATTTATTTATTAAAATATAATGGCAATTTGTAATTTTTGTGACCAAAAGTTGCTACTAATTAAATAGGTTTGTGCATAGAATTGTATTTTAATTTTATTTTCATTCCTTAAAATACTTTACCTTTAAAAAATTTTAATAAATATGAACTAAAATTTGTCCTCATATTGTAAGAATTTTTTTCTCCTGATTTTTTTGGGGCAAAATATATACCTATTGGAACTTTGATGATCTAAAAGGTTAAAGCTAATTTATATTTATTTTATGTTAAGCAATTTTATTTTAGTGAGCTTCAAGATGCAATTAATTTTTTTATAATGTAGTTTAAGCATGAGCTTTAGTTGTGTCATTTAAGTTAGTAGTATTTTTATTGGTTGATGGTTCTAATTTGAGTTTTTTTTCTTTGCATGTTCCTTTCCACCTTCCTGATTATGAAAACATCATCCCTATTGCATGATCATTTTTATTTGAATTATGATTTTTAGACTAATAGTCAACTGCCTGCATCTCCCCCTCATGATAAAAATAAATTCAGCGATCAGCAGACACCTCAAAACACTAAACACGATCCTCAACGACCCACGTCACTTTTCACTGGCAAGCCAACTCCTTATACCAAGGAATATATTTATGAAGTTAATTCCAGTGAGCAAAAAACGCCTTTTAGTCCTGCTGAACATGGATTCTCATACGAGAAAGATAGCCAGAAATTCGGAAATGTATCTCCGGTACCTGCTGAAACTATGATGCTGGACAATTCTCCGGGTAGTAAGCGCGCCAAAGGTTTAGCTTTCACTTATGCTCCTCCTGAAACTGATAAAGATCACTCCCAGAATGAAGTTGTTCTTTCGCAGCAAGTCCTGGTGGAAGATAACAGGCTTCAGGACATCTCATCGGAGTGGAACGACACGACCATTGACGAGTCGCTGAAATGGGATGATTCCAAAGATGAAGACATTATCAGGAATAAAGAAAACTTGGAGATAATTCCTAAGACTGATCAAAAGCAGAAACTTTCGTTATCCATGTTTAAAAAAGAAAAGTCTAAAAAACCTGAGGAAAAGAAAGTGAAGGATAAAAAGGCAGAAAAAGAAGATAAGGTGAAAAAGCGAGAAAAAGATAAAAAATCTGGGAAAGCGAGTAGAAGTTCGAGTGAAAGTATTCCAAATAAGAGGGATTCTGCAGTTGAAGCTGATTTGCAAGTTGATGAAATAGTTGTGGAGAATATCAAAGAAATCTCCAGCAAAGAAGGGGCTGAAGACCCGTTGACCCCTGAGAATGAAGAAAAAGCAGTTAAAGATGTTTTAGAGAAAGAAAAAGAGAGTAAGCTCAGATTATCTTTCAAAAAAAGCAAGTCCAAAGAATCTGTGAAAGACACTGACAAAAAATTGAAAGATGACGAAAAGAGAAAGAAAGAGGCTGAGAAAAAACAGAAGGAAAAGGAAGCAAAAGAGGAAGAACTAAGAAGAAAACAAAAGGAGAAAGAGGAGAAGGAAGAAGCCAAACGAAAGGCAAAAGAAGATAAGAAATTAAAAGAAAAGGAAGAAAAAGAGAAGAAAGCCAAAGAAAAATTGGAAAAAAAGAATAAATCTGACAGTAAATTGGACAAAAAAGCAAAAGAAGTTGCTGTTTCTGAAGTAGAAAGGAAATCTCCTGAGCCACAAGAATCTTCATCCACAGTCAATGAGAGCAAAATCACAGAAGAGATAAAAGAGAAGGATGGTAAAAGTAAAAGCAAAGAGAGCCTAAAAGACTCAAAATCAAAGAAAACAAAGCTCTCTCTGTCCAATATCATGAAAAAGAAGTCAAAGAAAGAAGGAGATAATACATCTACTTCTAGTAGTTCTTCAGAAGAAATGGACAAGGAATATGCCAGGGATGTGTCTGCTGAAAATGTAGGCATTCCAGAAGGACTTGTAACTTCCACTCCAAATCGTTCTCTGAAAGGTGCAGTTGGTACTTTTCCAGCTGATACCTCTAAAGATGTTTCATTTAGTTCAGAAACGGCTGTTCTAGAACTTGAAGGGTCTCCCTATTCCAGCCCAAGAAGTAGCAAAGAGAAACCAACCACTCAGGGTGATATCAAGCAACCGAAGCCATCAGTAGAGGTTGATTAGTTATTTATTTTTACTTATTCTTTATTTTTGCATGCGATTATTTTTAAGTACTAGATTTTATCATTATAATTTACTTGTTTAGTAAACTTTGATTTTGTTTATTGCAAATCGTAATTTAAGGAAGAAACTTTAAATCAATGGTTGGTTTAATAAAACTTTATTACTAGTATTATAACTTGGATTTGTGCTTGTTTGAGGAGAATTTTCCTGAATAGACTATTATTATATTGCAATCCACAATATGTATATAATTATTTTTTATTATTTCCTCAATATTTTAACTTATATTGAGAAAATATGTACTCAATATTTTAACTTCTCAATATATATGTATATATATATATATATTAAGGAAAATTTAATGGCATATTTAGTGCTGTGAGTGTTACACTTTGAACAGTTTCTCAAAATATGCCCCATCAATGTAAATAAAAAATGAGAAATGGTAACTGATTTATGAATATCTTCTAGTTTATTGTGCATTATAGTTTTTAATTCTGATAACTTCGACTGATTATTGTGTACTGAGCTCCTAGGTTTAATGAGTGGATTGCCTTGATCTTTGTGTTCTTTCATAACTAAACCCTCAGTTACCTATTAATAATTCATTTTTTTAAAACCTATTTTCTACTGAAGTTTAAAATGTTTGAACTTCTGTAGACAGTTGCTTAAAAAATTTATATTTTATCTTATTTTGTAACCTTATATTTAATAGGTTAAACAATATATTTAAGGTTAGACCTTTGAACTATCAAGATTGCATCTTACCATGTGAAAATCTAATCATGAGACTAAAAATTATCCAGTTGTTCTATTTTTTATTTGGTGCTCAGAACAATTTTTTGAAATTCTGTAGATAGTTAAAAAAAAAGAGGAAAGATTTTTCTAGATACCTGTGACCACTAAAAACTTATTAAAGTAATATAATAAATGGGATGTTAGTAAAAGTATCAAAACAATTTCCAAAGAACTGAATATGTAATGCAATGCAACATACTTAAATACTTTCTTTTTCTTATCAAAAACTTAATTAAATTCATATAATATTTATTTTAAAAGCTATCTTTTTATATTTATAAGATATTTATAAAAAAGCTAGCATTTTAGTTAAAAGAAGAACTAATCTGTTGATAATCCACCATAGGCTGAAGGATGGAAAGGACCAACCATAGTGACTGAATCATCCAGTACTGCCTCTAGTTCAGTCACGACAACCTCAAGTAAACAAATATCTGGCACAGAAGTTACAAAATCTCCTGACAAAGCAATTGTGCACACAAAATCCTCTAAAACAAGTGTGAATCAAGAAAAGAATGTAACTCAACAGGTTACAAAAAGTACAAGAGTAATGACTGGTACATTAGATGATGTTCAGGTATAAATTTGCGTTTTGATTCTATCCAAGTACAGTTGAACCTCAATCTATCATTCCCGTGTCTTTCGTTTTCGGTTATGTATAATTTCTTTTTAATGGCCCCACCAAATGCTATTCTTATGATGTTAATATTAGATCATTTTTTAAAATAGCGAATTCCTGTATCTATCGCTTTGAAATTTTGCGGACATAAAATATTTTAAGTTTTTTCACTTTGAGAAGAAAAATCGTAACTCCTGATGCTAATGTTGAAGAAGAGAATGTGGACTTGTTACAGTTTCTGTTAATACCTCTACAGCATGTTTGATGTTTATGCATCAATTGATAAAAATGTTTGAAACTTGTGGTTTGTCAGTTTAAAAATTGTATCGTAATTTCACATTATGTACGTAATTTAATCAATTTCAAACTTTTTATACTTATGCAGAGATGATTGTGATCCGGAAGTTTTCAGAAATCCTATGTCCCGAAGTTTCAAGAAATCATTGCTCACATTTAAGATTCTATAATTATAAGATTATAAAGATTCTTGTATGTTTTGTTTAAAAGATATTAGAACTAGAATTTATACTTGGCATCTCTTTCATTTGTAAATATTTTTTCTAGTAAAATAATAAATGTGATTAGAGATAACAGTAAACTTATACATAATTATTCATTTAAATTATGCTGCATATAATTTATTTAGAATTTCATGTTTTGAAAATATTATAATGATTTAAATTTTAAAGGCATTAATTTTTTGAATTGTGCCATTTATGATTTTATTCTAGAAATTTTCAGGAATTTTGAGTTGGGTTCACAATCACCCCTGTTTATAGTAAACTTATTAGTTTTCAAGTCATTATTTAAAATTTTATGTTTACCTGCATTTGTAGTTTTCCATGTTTATCGTTGGCAATGAATGGTCCCACGAGAAACGATCGATCGAGGTTTTACTGTAAAAAAATGGAAGCTATGTGCTCTATCTGTTATTATGAATGTGATTGTAAAGTGGTAAATTAATTTTTAGTCTGCCATCGTGAAGACTGAAGCATTCAAATATGATCCTAGCTCCGTTAATAATGCTCAGCACAGTACGACTTCTGTCCCTCTGGTTGCTACAGAGATGAGGAAAGTCAATTTCCCTGTGCCTCCCCCACCTCAATTCAGTAATGAACCTGAACCTTTGGCTGAAGATGGTGAAATAGTCAGCTCTTCTACAATATCTAGTAAAACAAAAACCATCGAAACAATAACAGTGAGTCACTTATAATTTAATATTAAGTATAGCTGGACAATTTATTTTATTATTTTAAGAAAAAGCATACTTTAAAATGACAAATATGATTTAATTAATAAGTGTTTTTTCAATTGCTTGTTTTATTTGCAATTGAATATTTTTATTTATTTTTGATTATTATCATTTATTGTTTTCATGATAAAATGGCTATCTACTTTAAATTTAATGAAATTTTCTGATCGATATCAATTTAAAAATTTTCTTTTGAATTTTTAACAAAACAAAATGTTTTTTTACTGGTTTAAATTATTTTTTAAAAATAATGAAAATATGTTTTTTTTAAAAAAATTCATAACACTCTTTATTTTTAACTCTAACGTTCAATCAATCCCTTAAATACTGAAACTTAATATAGATATTCCCAAAATATTTCTCACGAAATCATTTACTATTGGAAATTTTTTTAATTTTTCCGATAGTAAATGATTTCATAATACTAATTAATTTTTTTTTTCAGACTTAGTTGACATTACTTTTTTACTCTACCTATACTAAGTTATATGACTTCTGCTTTCTGAAATATAATCTTGTTTAACTCTTGTTTCCTAACTTCTTCTTTAACTTCGTTCACTTCTTCTTCAGTTTAATCTTATTTTCAGTCGAAGGAATTAATAAATATTTTTTTTAAATTTTAATATTGAACAGTTCAAATCTCTTAAAAACAAAATTGATGAGCAGAAAAGATTAATTTTGTATTCACCAAAATTTTTTAGAAACTGATACAACTGAAAAAGGCATTTGATTTTTTAAAAAAACAAATCACTGAAAAGATATCTAAGAATTTAAGTGATATTGATGAAGAAATAAGTGTAATAAATAAAAAGTAAAGTATAAAAATATTTTCACTTTCCCTCTTCTCAATTTTTTTTACCTAGATTGGCACCACTCACCCAACAGTCGAAGTAGACATCGCATTAAGTGAAGGTTGAGTTCTTTTCAATGGTATAAACTGGATGGAATCGAAGAAATAAATGAACAAAGGGAATGAGTTTAAAATTTCTTAAATTTGTTCATTTCTATTAATTTTATAAATTCAATAGTAATAAACATATCCTAGAAATTGAATCTTTAATCCCCATTTTGCCGTTGACCTAACCATGGGAGGTTTTCATGCTATTTCTCTCCATATAATGCAAATGCAATTTAGTTCTATCAGAAAGTCATCCACAAAAGCTAGTTTGCTTGATTCAGAACTTTCCTTCTCTTCTGGATTGGGTTCAAAATTACCAAGGCTACTGAGTTGAATATTGATAGTCCTAAACTCAGGATTTGGTCGGCTTTTCAAAGCCTACTATAAATTTTTTTTTTTTTTTAAAAGTACCCCTTCTAAGTTTAAAAACATGCAACTCTCACTTATCGAGTTCAGAAAAAGCAATAAACTTGCTTCATCGAGGAAAATCCCCACAAATGTGACAATGAGAAATTTGTTTTCATTAGGTGTCATATGGACTTAGTTTCAAACGAGAGAAATTAGTATTCTCGTATGTCTGAAACAATTCCATTATTATTTTTAATAATTGTGATGGGAGAACTGTTTTCCATTGTCTTAAAAAGAGAAAATTTGTATCTATCGTTTTAATGAGGTTCGACTGTATATGTTTTTCTGCAGACCAAACCTTATATTATGATAGAGAAACAGGAAGCAGATAACATTCATTTTGTGGTGTGTAATATTTTTTTTTCCTTTTCAAATATAGTATAAAATGGAGCATGATGGTGTTGTGGAAACTAGAGTGGAGCAGAAAATAACCATCCAGAGTGATGGTGAGCCCATAGATCATGACAGAGCTCTAACTGAAGCAATACAGGAAGCCACCATGATGAATCCTAACATGACAGTGGAAAAAATAGAAATACAACAACAATCTAGCTCTCAATGATTCTTAGGTATTATATACTTTTTCCTATCATGTATTCTGTGCTGCTTTTACAATCATATCTGATTATGTTCTATATGGGTTATTGCTTAGTTGTGGATGCCAGTGGTTCCCAATTCATTTTATTTATTTATTTTTTGCTACGGAGCCCTAATTAATCAACCTTCTCTCGGCAGAACCCTGACTTCATAAATATAATTTGTTAATTTATAGTGGACTTTTTAACCTCTATAAGACTAGATTTTAATGTTTAATTAGAGGTATGAAGATTTTTAATTGCTTTATTATTAATAATCCTAAATTGTGTCTTATGTCCGTCCGACAGTTGAATTATACAGTCCTTGGGCTATATCTAGCAGGGTTGAAAAAAACCCGGTTTTTTGTAGAAAAACCCAACCCAGGTGGGTTTTATTGGGCTTTTCTGGGTTCTATTGGGCTTTTCTGGGTTTTCCATGTTTTTATGTGGTTTTTTTCAAAAGAGAGAGCAGGGATAAGTACCTTATTTTAAAAAAGCTTATTTTAATATTAATAATTAAGTTTAATTTTATAAATTGACTTCATATAGATAATTAATACAAATAAATTGATGTGAAAGTCTGAAAAAAGTTTCTTCTGACATCAGGATACAAAATGTCATATGTACTCACATACATCACACATTTGAAACTTATTTTAACACAGGATTACTTTTTATTTACATTTTAATCTTGAAAAATATTTGAGGAAATTTTTTTATTTGCATAGAAAGCGAATCAATGGCACTGAATAATCAATGGCCATACAGTCAAATCTAGCCAACAGGACTCTCCTGTCTCCAACACAATTAGTTTCTTCACTATAGGTTAATTTTTTTTAGGCTAGAATACGCATATATTTCAATAGAAAAGCTCTTCCATATAACAGAGGATAAAAAAAAAAGAAATCAATCTTAGAAAAACCCACTTTATGGTAGGTTTTTTAGAGTGGGTTTTACCCAGTAAAACCCGGGCAGGTGGGTTTTTTGCAACCCTGATATCTATTCCAGTTATGAATTTATTTTTGGAGTATGTACCTAAGCTGAAAATGAGTGAAATAAGACAAATTATGGTTTACTTCAAAACGAAAACTTTAAATGGTGTTGAAAATCGTTACTAGGGAAGCATATTTCTTCAATGAAGATATTAGTTATTTTATTTTGATTTGAAAAGTGTAATGAGAAATACTAGTGCAATATTTTACAAATACTTATTCTTTTCAAAATTTGTATTTGTATATCATTATTAGAAATATTATATTTTCTTTTAAAAAATGCCATTTGTATTTCTTTAGCATATTACTTGAAATAATTTCCTAAAAGCAACCTATGAATTACAGGTAACCCCTTTAATTCTTCCACAGAGTCCTAGGGTTCTGTGGAATACCGTTTGGGAACCGCTGGACTATGCTTTTATTCTATTAAAAAATATAGTGCTCGTATTATGCCTATATGTAAAACAATGGGGGGAGATATTCCTTAATTAATTAGGAGGTACAATAACCAGTGAGTTAAGTTATAATGGTGTATATTTTTCTACTGTTTCTTGTGTAAACATTTAGATTGTGCTAATAAAACTGCTACAGTTATATTACAAAATTTATTCACAGCATTCTTAATTTTTTTATGACTTTTGAAAACTTAAATTTACACTTTTTGTAGTTTTTGTTTTTTACTTCAATAAATTGCAGATTTTTTGTTAAATTTAAATATAGTTAGTCATATTTTGGGATTAGTTTTATATATACTGAGAGACAATGGACTGACTACTAGTCAAATTTTCATTTTGTAATGTAGCTAAGTTAACTGTCATTCGAAATTAAGCCAAATCGTAAATATTTTCCTCTAAATACTGTTTACGACATTGATGTGAATATAAATAAAAACGGATTCTGAAGCATGTGAAGAAGTTTTTCCTCTTTCAAACATACATAAAGCAGAGCTTGTTATGTAATCGAACTAGTTGAACCTCTTACCTTGCTTTAAAGATTACCTCACTTATGAGGCTGCTAACATAAATTTTCAAACCCAAGCAGTTAAGAGGCTCCCTGTTCTCATTTTGAATTATTGAGCTATATAAAATAAACGAATTAAAATCTTAAAAAGCTGCTGAGTTCAAAAATTTTATGCGAATTTTTAAAGCAACTACTGACATTAAAATTACATTTATGACATAATTGACATGCTTGCCATCAATGGTTATAGTGTGGCATAGCCAATTTGCAAAATTCCGCAACAAAATTGCTCCATAGCCTTGATAATGGATATTTGCTGAAAAACACTATATTTTGACATTTCCTTGCATAAATAAACACTAAGTGTGGGCATGCTCAAAAAAATAGCAACATCACTAACATTTAACCGCCAAGTTATCTGAATTTCACTAATGGTTCTAAGATTATCATTTCTTTTTTTTGTGTATCTTAATAATTGATACTGCTGTATACTACTGTTGAAAACTATTAGTACATTGTTATTTAGTTATTGAAGTTTTTATTACATTCATTCATACATTGATGATAACATACATACTTTTGATTTGCTTATCTAAACAGTTAATGTCATTATTTTTGCTAGTGGTATATATCCATTTCTTCGTGTATTGAGGATGTGGCAACAGTTAGTAACCACTATATTCTACTATAAATTCTAATAAGTGACGACCAAAATAAAGTAAGAATTCATTAACTAAATGTCATGTGACTTTAAAAATTGCTATTAAAAAAGGAAAAAATAAAGGCAATTAATTGTTCCAATACCTTTTATTTTCCATTGCAATTTCATATTCTATGAATAACCATTTTTCTCCACCCAGAATGATCTGAATAATTAGCTAGTTTGGACTTATAGAATTGTGATGTTAAAACTATTAGTTTAAATAATTATTTTAATTTATTTCCTACTAGATCGCTCTGCACAACTACTTTTCTGAGAACAACTGCTTTGCTCCAATTCAAAGTCGCAAGGGGGATAAAACTACTCAATGGCAGTTCTCCTTAAAAGGCAAATTGAGTCAGATCTAATTTGTGACGCTTACTGTGATTGGGGATATATTATCTGTGTTGTTTCCTTATTGTACATAGAACATTTTTTCCTTTTAAAACCACCTGATGATATAAAGAACAGAATTCCAGGTGTTGGCTATAAAAATGACACAAGCAATCAAAACTGCCAATCCTTTTGTACAGAAAAAGCAAAAGAGGATGGGGGATATTTTATACATTTCTTGTCACTTTTTTAATGATTCCTTTGAATCAAAATAAGATGTGTTCATCTATAGTTAAGGATATTTGGTGCCCTAAGAGAGTTCTCATTTTGACTTGTTGAGGGAAAAAATAGGACTGTTTAAAAATTTTATATTTATAATTTGTGGGTGATGTTTTAATTATTTTAGTTTTTTTTTTCAGTGTTGAATATTTTTAAAAGAAAAAGTAATGATTTAGTATATCTTTCATTTATGAAAAATAATATTTTAAATAAAAATTTTACTATTGTCGAAAACATTTCTCATAATTATTTTTTTTTAATTGTCAATCAGAAGTTTAATGAAATTATGTTTTAAACTATTAAATGAAGAAAAAGTTTTTACCTTATGTTTCAAATATTTCTCAATATTTTTCAAATATTTCTCAATTAAGTCAATATCTTTTGTTGCTTTTATGTCTAGAACTCCTTATTTATCCAATTATAATAGACAAAAGTTATAAGCTTAATTCTTATATAAGTCTTTTTAAATTCTTAGGGTACCAAGTTCTTAATGAAAACATTAAAAACGAGTCCTCACTTCAAAAAAAATATTTGTTTGAATTATGTGTTTTAATGAGTACATGTTGTATGTTTTATTTATGTGTTCTATATATTAATTGTCATTACAATATTACTCGTTTACTGTTTTTCCAATTGAAACGTCATTAGCTTGTCCTAAAACCTGATGATTCTTTTGAAAATATATGGTGAAATCACAGAAATGTGGTATTCTGCAAAGGATTGGAAGATTTTTTTGTTTGTTCTGTTATTCTGTTTGAAAAGTCGAAATTATTTCTTTTACATACTAGAGGCATATTTCAGTATGCTATTTTTTTATTTTTTGATTGGTGGTATTTAAATTTTTATATTGATTATTTTTAGAAGACTATTTCAAAAAATTAGTTTTACTTTTTTTCAAATTAATTATTGAGCTTATAAATGTTTATGTTTGAAATTATAAATTTTTATTTTTTAGATTTTATAAATTGGATTTCTTGATCTCAGAAGTCTTAGAAATTTTAGTTTTATATTACTAAGTTTTTCTTTTAAAAGGTGAAATAACTAATCCTAAAAATTGAATCAAAACTAAAATTACTATATTATAAAATAAAAAAAATCACTTTGTGAGATTCTGTTTTTAGCATACTTGCTATTTTTAATGTCTTAAAACTCTTGTGCTATATTTGTACAATCCAGTAGGTTTCTTTCAAATTTCTCTTTCTAATTGTACTAGATGTTAAGTAATTTTAAATTTTTATGTTAATTTTTTTTTAAATATTTGGTAATGGGCAGCTTAAATATTCTGTCCATAAATTGTTTAATTTTATGGTTGTAACATAATTTTAAACCTCTTTTCAATGAAATGAATGTCTCATTGTTGACATGTTTGTTAAAAAAACAAAACAATGTATTTTAAATTTTTTTTATTAATGTAATTTTATTGGTGAAATTTATATTAAAATTAAAACTTAGTGTTGTGGTTTTTCGAGAAATTAGTCTTATCCAAATGAAGAAAGGGTTAATAAGCTGCATTTGAATAAAGCTAATACAATGTTAAAAGTGTACATTGGTTATGAGGAGCTTAGCCACTGACCTAAATTTCTGGAAATCATTTCACATTTTTAAAAATTCTAATAACTTAATTTGACTGTTTCTTGTATTCCATTCTTTTCAAATGGTCCTATTCTTTCCTATTGGTCAGTTTCTTTATTTATCCTTAGTGATGCGTTTGTATTTTCTTCTGCACCCTTGTTTCCCTTTTTTCATACTGTGTTTTAACACTGAAGAAAACAATGCTTCACTATATTACTAAAATGATCATGCATGCATCACATTATTTGTACTCTTTTCATAATGTTTTAGCTTTATTCGAATAAGTCTTATATTAATCATTCTTCAGTTTTTAAAATTGTTCTTAAATGGCAGTAATCTTACAACTGTTCGCAAATATTTCTTGAAAACAGCATCTAATGTGCATTCTTATTAGTATTAAATGATTTAAACTTTTTTTTTTGTGGTTGGAGTTTTAAATTTTCTTAGTTTAACTCTAAGTTTGCTGCAATTTTATGCATTTATATGTTTTTGTATATTACACATGTCATTCGGTTTTATTACTAAATAATGTTTACCTTATTTTATGTATCTTTATTCTAAGATATGTTCATCTGGTAAAAAGATATCAACTTTATACATTTAAATTTTTTTTTATCACATGTGCCTATGTGACTTATAAAAATTACTGAAAAAAAAGAGCTACCTTAATGTAAAATAATCTGTTTAGGATGTGAATTGTATAGATGATCTTTGTTGGATCATGGTTAAAATTGTTAAATTTATCTAAATAAAAGCATTTCAAAATATAAACTTATTTAATTATAGATAAAGCTATATGAATATATTTATACGTGTTGTTGAAATAATATTAAGTATGTGATTGTAAACTTTCTTTTGGGTTCGGGAAGAGGGATAGTAACCATTTTAAAACATAGTGCCTTTAATTTATTTTAAAATTAGTGCAAATCCAATTATCTTAAAATTATCTATAAATTTTTTTTTGGAATTTGGGGAAGAAAGTATGTGCATAACTTAAATTTACTGATTCTTTGTGTGTAATGTCAATTTATAAAATTATGTTCCTGTTTAATTTTCATAGCTGTTCTGAAATCATAAGTATTGATACATATATATGTTCCCATCTCCTATACTCTATTGTACAAAATGGTAAACTTAAAAGACTGAAAATTTGCTCAGAATTATAGATTTTTCATTTAGTCACCCAGTAAAATGTGTGATATGTAAAATGTTTAATAGTCTATATGTTTCATTGGAATTAGATGTTGAAAGCAGCTTTTTTTTAAAACAAAAATACTTTTGTCTGTATATTTTGTGCTCTGTTAATCATAACAGTATTTTTAATTTTTGTTGAACTTACCATGCCCAAAAACATGCTGCTATAAGTTTTTTTTAATGCACATAGAACTATTAAAAATCGTTTAAAAAACTAATGTTCTTTTTTTACAGCTAACAAACTAGTCATTTAGACACTTGTGGGGGTAATCCATATTATTATTTTGACATATACTTAAAACAATAAAGTCAGAGCATTTAGATATAAAATGTAGTTAAATTTACCATAATAAAACCAACTTGTAATTTTTCGGTATTTTTTATCATTATTTTGCCATATTTATCAATTCTTTTCCTGATAATACATATTGAAAATCATTCGCCTCTGTCTTCATATTTTTTAAAAACTAAATACAGAATGACACTATAGGTAAAGCACCTAGCAAAGCATGCCTTAATCTGATAAGCGAAATTAATTTGCATCGTGGAGAAGAAATCTACTGGTTAACCTATACATTTTATATGGTTAAATATATAATTTTCTTACCACCTAGACATTTTATATTTGCAATACAGTAAACACAAGTAATGATGCTTTCATTTAATAGTAGTGAAAGAATAATAACTTTTTATAACAAAATATAGTACAACTATATTGGAATGAGTTATTTCACACTTCGAAAAACTTCCAAGGCATGTCAAGTATGCAGTTGCCAGGGTAAAGTTAGGCCGCTGCATATGACTAATTAACTGTCATCAGTAAAAACTCTGATAAACTTGAAACAACATTTTAGAAACATGTAGCTATTATAAAATGTTTTTCATTTAGCGTTTTTTCTGGTTGTTAAATTAAGTTACGACCTAAATTCCTGTTATTAAAAAATATTTGAATTCTGATCAATGCTAATCATAATACATTAATTATACTTCTTAAAAAGATACTTTTTATGAATGAATACTTTTGCAAACTATAGTTACTTACACTGCATAATACAACAATAACTTAATAAAAAGAAACTTTTAAAAAAGTTCTAAAATAATTCAAATCTCAGCAATAATTTGATTATAAAATAAAAGTGGCAAATAGGCTAACTTCATAAATCAATATTAATATAATACTATTGATAACAAGTAGCTAAGACATAAATTGAAATTTCATAATACTACCAGAAAGAATCAGTAGTTATGCAGTAGTATGCATAGACTTAGGCGTGCCGACAAAGACTTATGATAAACTTGAAACAACATTTTAGAAACATGTTGCAGCTATTATAAAAGATTGTTTTTTACTTAGCATTTTTCTTGTTAAATTTAGTTGATACCTGAATTCTTAGTTTAACTAAATATTTGAAATCTGGTTAATCCTAATTATATTCTTACTAAGATGCATTGTAAGAACTTTTACATTTGTAAACTACAGTTACTTACACTGAATAAAACAACAAATACTGAATAAAAAGAAGCTAAAAAATTTTGAAAACTTATCAATAATATGATTCTAAAATGAACAACTTTAAAAATAATCTTTATAAATCAATATATTACTTCTGACAGCAAATAGCTAAAACAATTTGAAATTTTATAATGATGCTAGAAAGATTCAATAATTTGCAGTGGTGAACATTAGATTTAAGTGTGCCCACCTCAGAAGATTTTCAAGTACCTCCTAACTTAAGACTTACCACAAAATATTTAAAATTATATAATATGAAACATGAAGAGTTGGAGGGTTTTATTTACGTCACTAATACTTAGTTTTGATAGTATATTAGTGATGATGATACTAATGACAATGAACACAGGCCGAGAGTAGGATATGAAATGACGAGCTGTTGCTGGAATTTAATCCTAGATTGAGTGCACCAGAAACAAACGTTACATGTATTAAGCCATCTTGATCCTGATAATACACATATTCTCATGAAATAAGGGTTAAAAATATATGCTTCCGTAATTTACAAAATTCAGTGGGAAAAGAATGAGGGCAGACAGAAATTTTTCCAAGATCTAAGATTATGTTTAATAATAAAAATTGTAACTATATATTATCCATGATAAACATATTTTTTGTGGTCATGCTTTTTGCTTTGAATACTCTAAGAGTAGAATAGAGGTCTATTTTATCCAGTAGTATTTTGTAATTTGTATCATTTGGCAATTTAGTTTAACATTTATAATGTTTGTTAACCTCTAAATGGTATGTAGAAATAAGGCTTATCAATTCCATACATAAATGTATGACGACATTAATCAACTAAAAATTATAACTGTTACAATATTTTTTAGATTAATTTAATAATCTACAAAAAAAAAATTCACAATATATAATGAAACCATGTGCTAATTTTCTATGAACTTAGTTTTAACACTTTCTAGAATATGTTGCCACTTTAGTTAAGAAAGCAACCAATGAGTATAAAACTGATTGTATATAATTATAACTATACACTTGTGCTACAATTTCTTTAACCTAGAATTTTGTATCATTCTCAAAAACGCTTGCCAATGTTTGAAAGAAATAAGAATAACTTGTTAGATACTGAAACTTCTGAAAAGGTGTAAAAAGTAACTATCTATTTAATGTCACCCCCCCCCCCCAATTAACCAGCAAAATTACAGTTTCGGCTTAGAGAAAAATAGGTACTTTTTATAATCATATTTTTATCACCAAATAAGTTTTTTTTCTCCAAATTCATTTAAATTTTTTTAATAGTTGACTTAATTTACAATTTTTATCTGTAATTCTTTTGCATCATTCATGATTTTATGATAATTTAAACTGTTGCCTACTGTTGTTTAAATTGTCAGTGAACTTGGCATTCATATGTTCCAATAGAAACTTATTAAAGTTAATGTGAAACTTTCCTATTACTTTTATTGTTAAATTTTTTTTTTTTAAAAAATGTCTTTATTTTCTACCAAAAAGCTTAAATAGAAAATATTTCCAAAATTTAGTCATAATAGAAAAAAAAGATTTTTATGTGCTTAATTTGTATAATATAAATACAGCCATCACTTAAAAAAAAAAAATCAGAATTTTGCCCCTGGCAAAGCAAGGGGGGAGGGAATCTTAACCTCAAATTAATATTTTTGTCTCTTGTTTAGTCTATGACATCATTTTCTAATTATAATTCCAGACTGAGTAAAATTTATTGGTCTCACCAACAAACAAATTTTTTTTTTAATATTTTACTTTTGTTGAAGTGTATGTTTGATTAAAATGTTGATTAATTGTCTGTCATAGTGCAATTGCCTTTGTACTACTATTTAGTTCGCAGTGAAGTAACAAAACAAAATCTAATCAAAGAATGAAACTAATTTACAAATTCAGAAAAAGACATATAATCTGTACTCAGATAATCTATAGTATACTATTTCACAAAAGATAATTTGTTTACTTACTGTTGTAATATGTTGTTAAATTTAAAAAAATGAAAAGTAAGCCAGATAGTGTACATAAAACATTTAATAGGAGTCAAATTTTAACATGTCAACTTTAAGTTTGTATAAAGTATATCACATAAATAGGGTTAAAAGTTATCACATTAAGCAGAAACACAAAAATTGTTTTCTGATTACATTAAATTTCTTGACTAGAAAATGTATTTTTCTTTCAACTTAAGTTTTAACATCAACACAGATTAATAACAATTATCACATAGTATTATATATATAAATATCAGATCTTATTATAACATTTAGTAGAACATACACAGATATAATTTTAAAATTCCTTTTCTTTTAATTTCCAGAATGCAAAAACTGTGACAGAATTTTAACAGGTGTGAAAATATTTAAGTTGGTTCAATTTTAGTTAAAAGGTATTGTTGAATAGGTAAAAAATTAAACTTTTTTTTATTATAATTGAATAAATGTTTAACAATAGAAAAATATAAATTTAAAAATAATTTTTAGTGTCAAATTACTATTTCGAAAAGATATAATTTGATAAGTGTAGTAAAAAAAAGAATGTTTTTTTTCTAAACTTTGTGTTTTATAAAAATTTAGTAAATAAAAAATTTATAACGTTTATCACACTATTTGCTGTTGAGAGAAATCTAATTTCACAAAAATACCTAATAACAAAAAATAAATAATAATACAATACAATATATTTTTCTCTTTAAAAATTTCCCTTTTTACAATAGCGATGACAGTAAAATACACAGTATAAATTTTTAAGTACATACCAGATAAAGTTCAGATAATATGAAGAGGTTTTAAGAAATATAAAAATTTTGTACTTTTTAAAGTTTAGAATAAATATGAATATTTATCAATCAAATTTTTTATTTTACGTATTCTTTAGAAATAATTATTTCTACTTTTTTTTATGTACAAAGATAGATCACTATCCATATACACCAAGAAGGGAAACATAAAGAAAATGTAACTAATTATAAAAAATTAGTTATTTATAATATCACAGCTTTAACTTTTCACGATTTTTTTGTTAAAGTACAGTTGTAGTTGTATGTAGGTAATTGTTTCTTTAAAATTACAGGTTAAAATAAATATTAAGCGACATGATTATTTAAAGAACCCAGTCAAAAGTTCTTTCTTTATTAAATTGTAAATAATGCGTCATTCAATATGTTATATATAAAAGAAATCATTTTGACTAATTTGCCTGCTAACTTATTGAAACAATCACATAATATCGATCCTGCTTTATTTCTGAACTCCATTCAAATTTTTAATATTGTTTTAAAAAATTTAAGGTTTATACAAATATAATTTTTCTCTGAAATATGCATTTATCACCCATTAGTTCAAAAAAAAAAATTTTTTTTTTTTTTTAAACTTATGTTATATTATACTTTAGAAATTTTAGGTCTAAATGAACAATATAATTTTACAGATTATTAATTTATACTTCATGTTATATTATACTCAATATAATCTTAAATGTATGATGTATATTTTTCAATTTAATAATACAGATTGTTATTTTATACTTCATAAAAAATATTTTATACATTTACAAAGCTATTGTAGTCAAAAGCTTAATAGTTAACTTTTGAATCTTAATTATTCAAATAGTTCAGATGAACGGGTTTACTACTCAATTATGACAATATATTAGTTTTTATATCCAAGACTTATTTTTCAAGTGACTGAATTAAGCCTATACATAAAGCAATATTATATTTCTTCATGTATTTATTTCAGGGGACAATCGAGAGTAAGTGTTGAGAATATATTATTTACCTGAAAAATACATCTTAATTAAAGAATCAAGTTTAAACCACTCACATAACTTATTCACAATAAATCAAACCCAATGTAAACAATTAACATTGTGAAAAATTCTTCAAACATTCTAGTTACTTAACTGGTGCATTAATTGTTGCATACCTAGTAACTTTCTTGAATATTAGAAAGATGTGAGAAGGAAAAAAAATCGAATCTTGTTCATTCTAATGAGTGAAAATCGTAATTAAAAATTCTTTAAGACTCATAGATAAGCCTTTGGTAGTGTGGTAGTATCTCTGATGTATTCAGAAGCAAAGAAAATTCCAAGGCAACCAAGACTCCAAATTCCAAAGCCATCAAATCTTTTCGGTTTATGCGAAATACTGTTTCTATTTTCTGAAAACAATGAAAAAAATAAATTTAAAAGTTTAAATACAGTACAAAAATTATTACTACTGTAAATAAATCAGAATTTTATCAATTAATATTTTTAAAGATATAAAGTTACAACTCGTAGCTTATTGATTGGCACAGTGATTCCATACTGTCTGAGACAAATGAGTCGAAGGGTAAACTATATACTGTATATAAATACAGCTCAGACAAAGTTAAAAAAGATCAAATCGTAGATGCAATTTTAAATTAACAGACATACAATGGATGTTCATTTATCTAACATTATGTATTGTTTTTAAGAGTGGGTGAAATAATGCACAGTTTAAAACTGTATTCTCAAAATATTGATTTTCTCCGAATTCACTTTTTTTTTAAGCTTTCGTGCAATCAATTTAGAAACATATTATATTTCTAAGTTATATATCTATAATCAAAAATATTAAATGCAAAAAGCTACGCAGATGGAAAAAAAATCCCAAAACCAAGAAAGGTAATGAAATTCCGGCAATGCGTTTGTCTGAGTAACATATTTAATTGATTAAAGTTTCAAGATCACAGATCAATGATATTAAGAGAAAATCCATTTCAAATGTGAATTACTGGCACATTAACAATCTGTGTAACCACCAGAATTTTGAATGCAAACGGGCAAGCTTTGTGTCATGCAAATGCCGTATGTCATTTTGTGAGATAGAGTTTCATGCCTATTGCACTAAGTCAGTCAATAGGGAATAGTTAATGCTGGTTGTGGATGACGCTGAAGTTGTCGTCCAATGATGTCCCATACATGCTCGATTGATGAAAGATCTGGTGATATAGCAGGCCAAGGCAACATGTCAGCATTCTGTAGGGCATGTTGCGTTACACATCAGTATGAGGGTGAGGGTTATCCTGTTGGAAAATACCCCGTTGAATGCTGTGCGGTGTTCCACAGCCATACGTCCATCCCTCAGAGTAGTGCCGTGTGATCCCCCAGAACCCGGTCTTCTTGAAGCAGTAACTTTCCCTGACCACTGTTGCTAACAATCGTGCAGAGTGGAAACATTTCTCCCCAGTCTCTCTGCAATGTCACAGAAAGAAATTACACCATACGCAGCCCTATTATACGACCACGTTCAAAGTCAGTGAGCTGTTGATAATGGCTTCTCCGTTTTCGTAAAGGCATTCTTGACTAACAGCAACTCCCTACATCAAAATTTAACACAAATGTGGCTTACGAACTGTAGAACATGTATTTAAAGCAACTCTGCTCCAAGCGTGAAATTTGAATAGACATCTTTCAGTTGTATACACAAGCCTACCATATTTATTTTAACTAGCACAACTCCTTGGTGTTGGTATTTTTTTCCCCGTCAGTGTATTTTAAACTTTGAAAATTCAATTTAAAAAGTAAAAATAAGAAAATGAAAGTAAAATTTTCAAATTTTTACTTTCAATATTGAAAGTCAAATTTTCAATGTTGATTTTTCTTCAAATTTAAGGTTATTTTATGCAATTAATTTAGAAACATTATATTTCTCAGTTATACATCTATAATCAAAAATATTAAATGGTAAAAACATATAAACTTTTAGAATTCAATTCAAGAAGTTAAGATAAGAAAATTAAAATAAAATTTTCAAGCAAACAAAAAAGCTTTAGAAAATAAGTGATGAACACCATCACAAGAAGCACCATTTTCAATATCAAATTTTAACACTGGTTACAATTTACTTAAACAAAAGATAAATAGTAAGTACCTTTACGATTTAAAAAACACATAAATATTAAACACAAACATCATCCTAAGTGTCCCAAATCATGAAATCAAAAAATTACCTGCATCAACTTGAAAACTGTATCTTAGCTTCAAATAGTAACAAGTTCATGTAAAGGCAACTATTTTTTTCTTTCTTTTATGTGTGTTTGTTATTACTGATCTGATATGCCCTAACACACCCTGCGGCAGAATTTTTTTGAGCTATCTGCGACTAAACCCTCTAGCGTTAATATCTTTCTGCAAGATACTTTTAATACTAACAAACATATTTGTTACTAATTTAAAATAACAAATACACTGTGTTTACAAAAAATAAATAAATAAATATTTTTTTTAATTGAACATGTAATAATTTTTTATTCTAAAATTATGGGTGATATTCTCACATTTTGTTGGGGGGGGGATACGGACATATTATTTACTTCTTCGCATTTTGATCATTATAATAAACAAATATTAAATATCGTGAAAGATCTATGACGAAATCACTTGAATCGGACTCCTCAAACGCTGCTTCGGGTATATAAGTTCAGTTCCTTTTCTTATTTTAGGGTATTTCTGTAACATTATGTGTTTTGAAAGAGCTTAAGTATCGAGCTATAATTTTACCAAAAAAAAGATTCTTACTGTAATTTTATGATGCCCAATTAGAACTGGTTATGAGTGATAAAATTTTGAATTTGCACAATTGAGTAAAGAAAATTCATATCAGCTAGCTTACACGAGCAAATATTTTCTTATCCTTGTTTTCTTGGGGAAAAAAATCTCAGAACATTTCAATCTTATGAATTTAAGAAAATTTTGTTCAAATTGAAAACACTGACCTCCAACAAAGTTTGCAAATCTATCCCTCTCACATCATTCAATTTAGCTGATAACAAGAGACAAGCACCAGCACAATGTTTTCTGTTTTGTTTATTCACTAAAATCTGAAATTTAAAAGGAAAGTTCAAAAATGTTCTACAGTAAATAAAGAAAACATCATGCAAAAATATTCAAGAAAACTCACTTTTAATATGAGTTTTTCAAAATACACAAAAGCTTGAGCCACCACAGAAAGATCAATATTGCACTATAAAATAACAGATAAGACTATTTACAAACAAAAATATGAATACTTAAAATGTAAAAAAAAAGGGAATGGATCTGTTCAGATTTTACCTCATGCCGAGCAATCTTGTACATCTCTCGTTTCAAACTAAAAAGATTTATAGAGACATTGATATGAATAAGTTTCATTTTCCTTCAAACTAAACTAATATTGACGCTCAACGTAACTATATATGTATTATAACAATTTATCCTACACATGAGACAACTGCTAACAAAGACTAAAAATGAATAGCTAATCACTAAAATAATTTTAGTCTATGATTCAAAACTAGTTAAAAGTGAGGGATATTTCCGTATCGTGATTTGTCGCCCCAATTACTATCGCCAAGGTGGCAAATAGATTTTAAACTTGCAATTTAGAAAAAGAAAAAAAAACGTAGATGTTTGCCCGGGGGTGGCTACAAGTTGTACCTTTCGAGTTGGTCCCTCTCTGTGATGTTTTTTTTAGATTCTCGCTGGCCACTGCCCAGAATTTGCCAAGGTTTGGCGATTATTCTGCCACAGATCACGGCACGAAAATCATCCTAAAGTGAAATCAATAGCAAGTTAAATTTAGCGGTTAAACAGTCTTTTCTCTTTCAGATCAATTTCCTAATCAGAATCTTGCCTGATCCCTCTCTGAAGAAAGTTCTTTTAAGAGCTTGGCATACATAATTGTTTTTTTAAAAATAAATAGCAGTCAAAAGAAAACATGACCTGCTCTTTTCTATCCATAAACATTAATAAATAATTTATAACAAAATGAATCAGTGATTTAACCACACCATGAAAGAGCTAAAAGTTGCAACAACTTTTTGAAATTTTGTTGTGCCATATTTAACAACGATGAGAGGAACTATATATATGTAAACAAGCACTCTGTAGAAAATGAAACTATAGTACATTGCAAGTTAAGAAATTGCAACACCATAGCCGTATAGGATTTAAGTAATCATCCGTGACTGCATACAGTTCCATTCTATTTCGTTATCAAATTATACAAGGCAAAAGGCTTTGAAAGTTTAAACACATCAGTCAGAAATTTAATATGTGCTATCTCTTACGATATGTATCAAAGAATTATTTTTAAAAAAATATTATAATTTTGTAGCCTTACAGGAATCCTAGACTTTGCGATATATTTCGATAAATGAGGAGAACATTCATTCGTAAAAACGAAACAACTATATGACATTGTAATAGCATTAGATTTGATTGGACCACTAAAAATGGCACGGCTTATGGTGACATGCTTTTAGGAAATTAAATGCGAGATACGGAATTTTTATTTTTGTTTCACCGTGGAAGAAAATCATCTGCAAGAAACAATATTTATTATTCTTCCATCAGTTTTTTTAAAAGCGAAGAGAAAGACGTACATTTGTTATGATTTTTAGAAATTATTTTTGTTAATTGATTATTCATGTAAACTGTTATTATATTAAGTATAAGAAAGCAAGCATAAAGGAGGCTGTGCAACGTCATCTAAGAGTTTGCGATATTGATATACGTTCACGCTGGGAGCTTGGCATCCATTTGGCGTGCAGTTAGATGCAAACAGGGTCTCTCCATAGGGATAATGATTTTTTTCTTAACTTGCAACAGAGTATCATAAAGATATACACAGAAACTTCACTAGGATTTGAGGAGTATAGGTAAAGTCCTTTGAACATTCTCTTTCTAAAGTTCCCTCTAAGGACTCTTCAGTTTTTCACCTATGATATTGAAAGACATCTTTTTCTTTTCTTCCCTTACTTAAACTTTATTTCTAAATGCGAAAAAATCAATTTTTTTCTTCAATACTACTGTTTAATTTTTATGCACAACATTCACGGTTTTTAGAATTGACGAATTTCGCATTTATAGGCCCCAAATATTTAAATAAATATTTTCTAATTCTAAAATTTTGTTTCATAAGAGCTTTCTGAAGAGTGAAAACTACGGTTTTCTTTCCGACTTCCCCAAAATAAATTAAAGTGCTTTGATTTTTTAAAAAAAGTGACAAGCATAGGGTTCCCCATAGTGTCTTAGAAATAAGAGATAATAAGGGTCCCCACCTTTACGAAGTAGATTCATTATGAGGAAAAAGGCAATTTCACTATTTTAGCTGATAAATTAAACATAGCTTAAAACAAAACCAAATTTGCCATTAAAATAATAGAATGATTTTATTGTTAATTATTACATTTGCTTACATCATTAGCAGATGTGATTAGAAAAAATTTATAAAATTGGAGTAATACTATAATTTTTTGTTGAATTTATATATATCTATAATTATTTTCATTCTATATAAATTTATCAGGTAATTTTTGTTTCAATTATGTAACTTTCTTAATATGCAACAAAAAACTGTTTATGTGTTACAATATTTTCATGCTTAGAAATTTATTATTTACCTTCTTAACTTGCTTAGAGTTAACTGAACTTGAGGAAATCGTTCTTTGAATCTGTCATTCAAGTCTTTTTTTAAATCTGAAGGCTTTACATAATCAATAACAGAAGTCTGAAATCATGAGAAAACATTGTTTACAAATAAAGCTATTATTTTGGAGCTAAAGAAAAAAATGAACATAATTAATATGATTACAAATTGACAAACAATTTCATAAATCAATAAATATGCATAAAATATTTTAAAATTTTACGAAATTAGTGGATAAATATTTGTAGGAAAAAAAGGAGATAAATAAGCTCTTTACAGAAAGTTAAAAAGATAGTATATTAAAAATAAGAAGCTTAATTTAAAGGCTATTCCTTTATAAATATGGAAATGCAATTTATATAAAAGATTTTATACCTCAAGGTATAAAATTAGCTTCACTCGTAATTATTAAATTTTAACAAACTATATTTTTCAAAAATATTAAATTGTTTATTAAACAGAATTCTCAGAAAAAATACCCAAGTTTAAACTGTTTCTCAACAACTCAAACAATTAAGTTAAAGATACAAAAAAATTATGATCTTATTTCATTTGAAAGTTTTAAAATAAAATAATGCTTATTCTATTTTAAAAATATGCTTTGTCTAATTTACAATTAACATATTGATAAATTTTTAAGTTGGCTGTTTAAAAGAAATGCTTCGAGCTTAATTAAGATTAAATAGAGATTAAGCTACAAAAATTTCAGAAAATTGGATATTTGATTGCAGTGAAATGCTATCACACTTTTCTCGCACTGCACCAAAAATGTGTAAAAGCAAAATTATGCTGCTATATTTACTTTTAAATTACATACTTTATTTTACTTTTAACTCTTATTAATAAATACTTTTTACATAATAAGAGTTGATTATGACCGTTTTTATTATGTTCTGAAATAAGAAACTATGCATTTTACACTGCACTTTTAACAGAAGAAAATTCTTCAGCACTCAAACAGTTAGTAATATTTTCGAAGCTTAACTATATAATTATGTCAATAAGGTTAATTAATTTAAACTTTATGTTCTACATTCATTTAAACTTTATGTTTAATATGTTCTACATTAATTAAAACTAGCGTTAGGAAATTTTTGTCTTTTCTTAAGAATTAAAATAAAAACATGCTTTTATAAACAGTGTAAATGGAATAAGCAAAAAATGCATACATTTTTTCACATAAGAGTATANAAGCCGCAATTTTTCCTAAAAGAGACAGTTGTTCATCAAACTATGCCTTAGTAATCTCTCCAGAAAGGTACTTTACAACTTTCCAGAATTTCCACTAACTAACAACACAATGTACAGAAAAATCTTATTGCCAAGACATATCACAGCCTATCACTTAGTCCTCTTTTTCAGAACTCTATTGTTTTTTTACCATGACATAATTTTGCTATCAGTCAAGTCGAGGACAACATCTGAGCTAGTACCCCTTCGTTCAAACTTCAAGAAACACAACCAACGAGAGAACTTCCAATCACGACAAATTTAATGTGCACCTTGACACATATACACATGCGGTTAGTTTAGTCAGTTACCAGGATCAAACTCGCGACCCCCGACTCGCCACCAGTGGAGTTAGTGACGCCACTACCTACTGCACCACCCGAGTGCTGATGTTATCGGCCACCTGGGAATTGAGGTGCTTTTCATCAAAAATACATTCTTAATTCACCTGAGATTGTGGCTTATCATTATATTGCTCCAAGCCTTTATATTGTTAGAGATGTTATAAATGAATTCAGCTTACTATGTAAGAAGGAAAATTTAAAAGAGTGCTATGCTTTCCAGCAATGAGTTCTGGATCATCTAACAGATTGGGATGATAAATAGCTGAATGGTAAGATATCCATGGATGACATTCCCTCTCTAAAACTATTCATAAATTAATATAATCCTTATGTTATCCAAATTTTACCAAAAAATAAATAAATAAATAAAATATGTTTTTATGACACAAAAGTTGAGATATTTACATTTGTCGGATGCTATCGGAGGAGTAGTAGAAAATTTTGGACTTATTCGCGGGATAGGGGCATCCATTGTATGCAAACTTGTATGCATCAGATACGGAAATCGCAAACTTATATCAGTTTCTAGACAGTTGTCTGGTATTCTAGATTTCTTGTTCAATAGGGATGGGGCTAACAAATCCCCATATGATATATCCTAGTTAGAAAAAAGAAAAGGGTAAACATTATTTGCAATAAAAATCAAAATAACTAATAGATAATTTAAGCCAAAAATATTATGGTTATGTGAAAATATTTAGTAAATATATTAATTAAATGAAAATATTCATATTATAATCAACTAGTTTAGGAAAATGAATTTTACACTCGCAATAAAAACCAAAATAACTAATAGATAATTTAAGCTAAAAAAATTATGGTTATGTGAAAATATTTAGTAAATATATTAATTATAATGAAAATATTCATATTATAATCAACTAGTTTAGGAAAATGAATTTTACACTCGCAAAATAACTAATAGATAATTTAAGCCAAAAAAAATTATGGTTACGTGAAAATATTAAGTAAATATATTAATTATAATGAAAATATTCATATAATAATCAACTAGTTTAGGAAAATGAATTTTACACTTGCAATAAAAACCAAAATAACTAATAGATAATTTAAGCCAAAAAAAATTATGGTTATGTGAAAATATTTAGTAAATATATTAATTACAATGAAAATATTCATATTATAATCAACTAGTTTAGGAAAATGAATTTTACACAGAATTTTTAAGCAAAAGCCACGATTTTCCATAAATTGCATTAATTCACACTCTCTAAAGCAAACTAAAATTGAAAAACTTGTTGAATTTTGTTTCTAATTCTCTTGAAAAATTTCATTTTTTTCCATGTAAATAACAAATGCTTAAGTGCATATTTTTGTACTTTAAAGTATCTTTATTCAAAAATTATTTTAAAGCATTAATATTGGTCTGCCACTGTAATATTCCTTCACGAATATTATGTGGTTGATTCTCATAAATAACTATCACTTATATAGACAACACTGTTTATTATTAACATATATAAAAATAATATAAAAAGATAAGGTAAATTAGTGACATGATCGTATCTGACTTCGCAAGTCAGTCCCGAGAATGCTTCTCTCTCTTTTTGATTAATTACTTTTTTCGGAGGTGAGTGTGCGAAGCGCCCTCTGGCGAAGATGTCCGCACACTACAGCCACCATATATATAATGCCATGTTTAGTAGAAAAGTTAAATTACATGTGAAATGTTCAAACTAACACCAAATTCTATATTACGGAAGGTAAGGTTTGTGTCATAAAGATTTACTGTAGTAAATAAAATATAGCGTTAACAAATATATTATATAAAATAATTTGTTTCCTTATTGGGTTTTTTTCCAACTGCTTCAGACTACGTTGAGGCCATTAGTTTTAAATATAGAAGAAGATTTTAAACAACTTTTCTTTTTTTTAAGAGTTATAATATCGAAATTATGGAGCCTAGTTGTTACTTTTAGGAGCGACAGCCAATGTTTAACTGTTAGACCCCTGTGCAATCATACTTATTCTTACTTATCCTAAGAGCGTTTTTTTTAAGTTATGCTCCTTGCAAACACAGGTTCTTGGAATACAATTAGCTGAACAGTTTTATCCTAAATTTTTTTTCTTTAGTTTGGTTTCAAATCACTTTAAAACTTTTTTAGATATTATTTAATATATAATATTTAATAGATAATATTTAATATATAATATTTAATAGATTCAGGAAATTAAAAAGCCATAACCGTAAAAGAAACTTAATTTAAAATTTCCTTCATATAAATGTTAAGTGATACAGAATGATAAATAAAAGTCGCATAACATTTGACACTGACCAATGTTTCGTATTGATGCATAAGAGTATCCACAACTCAATCCACATACATAAGTTTTCACTGCAATAAATTTTACTAGTCGGACACTTGATACTTTTTTATCAATGGTATGGCTTATATTTTTTTCAAAAAAAAAGTTGTATGCTTCATGCAAAAAAAAAAAAGGTTTCAATTTTTTTGTTTTTGAGATAATGTAAGTGTTAAGTGGTTAAACAGAACAACTTTTTTTTTTCTGAGATGGTGCAGTGTGTAAAAAAACTTTGTGATACACAGAAAAGCCCCAAATGCAAAAACAAAATATAAATTAGACTAATATTTGACATTATGATAACAAAAACTTGTTCACGCTCAACTTTCATATTAAGAGCATTATGATGTTAGAAATTGAGACAGCAGTTAATAGTTTCTATAACCTCTTAAAGCATGAGTTGTTTCTTTTGGTAAAAGCGATATTTTTAAATTTTTTTTCAGAAAATGAATATATAGGTATAGATAGTGTAAGTTATTTCTACAATTTCAGTTGTGGGGGGGGGCTAGGGAATGGGGTTTGGTGTAGAAGTTATTTAAAAAGTTATGGTACAAACAATGTTTAAACAATTTGATTACAGGTTTATTTTGATTTTTGAAATATTAAAATTAAATTAAATCAATATATCAATTAATAATCAATTAACTATCAATAAATTAAATTAATATATCAAATAGCTAATCATCAAAATGCACCACGTGGTTTGCACAAGAAAAATGCTGCATAGTGGTGTCATTTATGGTAAATAAATTTAATTATAATCTAGTCTATCCATTTTTACTAGAACGAATCGCAGACGGGCATTAGAAATAAAATAATGTGAGACACAAGATTGCCCGTGTCTCACCAGGGCATGTGCAAATTTGCCGGTAACTTTCACCTCAGTCGGACATGGGCAAATGTGTTAAATAATTTCAACAAATCAGATAAATATTTAAATTCAAGAACCCACACCTGCCCTTCTAATGGTTTTTCAACACCAATCAGAGAGAGTATATCAAGTGGGTCTGGTCCATCACTGATTGCTGCAAGCTGACGCATACTGGTTGCATGTCTCCTTCGGCTGCCATCTATTTTTATGTCGATTCTAGACAGAAACAAACAGTGCGTTTATAGAAGAGTTGTATGACTTATAGTTTTTTTTTTAAATATATTTTTAAGACTTATTTATATACATTTATGTATTTTTATAGTTCATACATGCAAATAAAAATTAAGGTTTTCAAAAACATATAAACAACATATTTAAATGATACATGGAAAAATATATATACAGAAGTTGAAATGAACATTTTCTTAATTATATTATATAACATCCATTATAAATGAGAATGAATCAACTTTATAGAAATAAAAAAAGCTCAAAATCAGTATCTTTAAAAAGTTAACCTCTTTGAGTAGACATTTTTGACCACCGACTTTGCCTGCCAGAATTTAATACTGTATTTTAATGATTTTCATAAATGAAGGAGGGTACAGAGAACTGTTTTTATTTTAAGCATTTACTTCATCAATTTTATAAAACATTTTTTTCCAACCATATTCTTGAATTAATATAGTATGTCAAATTTAGCTTATTTAGTAGAGCTGTCTAAATTCAGTTAAATCTAAAATTATATTTTATAAATGGCTTATTAAAAAGTAATAGGTTAAGTAACATATAAAAGAGATTGTTAGTGATCTGAAAAGTTAATTTTCAGGAGCTATTTAATCTTTTCAAGCAAAAAATAAATAAATAAAAGGTTAAAATTAAAAAAAAAAAAAAAAAAAAGAAAAACATACCTAGAGGATCCTTGAGATTTACTAAATGCAACAACAGAAAACAAAGCGAATGGAGATTTCTTTTCACTTATTAATACCATTCTGAAATATAATAAAAATTTCAATAAATAATATATATTTTTTAGTTTAAAAAATAATATGCATGAAAAACATGTGATATAACCTCTCTGAATCATTTTTGTGATCCTTTAAGCTTTTAATAAACCTAATCTCAGCAGCAGACGGAAACGAACATTCTGATGGACATAGGGAGGGTTTTCTGATTCGGTAACTACCAGAAACAGCTGAAATAGTATAAAGTAATTTAGATTCAAAATTTTAATATTTTTTGAGAATTAAGTTAATTTGCTTACTTAGACTTTCAGTACTGTTAGCTGATGGTAAACCATATGATTCTATAGACTTTTGATGAGATAACCTTCTTTTTTGACTTAAATTACACAGTCGTGCTTTTGCATCGCAAACAAATTTGTGAACTCTATATAACAAAAAATTTATAATATTTATAAACACATTAAAATTTTACAAGTATTATTATGCACTTCGAATAAGGTAAATTTAATTGAGTTAGTGGTAAAAGAAACACAGTTAAAAATTTTTACAAACATTTTTAAAAAAAATCTCTTTCAAAAAATATTTCAAAAAGTTGTATGTAGTTATTTACATGGTAGCTCATGGATTTTACAAATCATAAATCTAAATAGTTATTTTTAAATAAAAATTTTCATTTCAAACCTATAAAATGTAGTTTTGAGAGATAAATCTTGAAATATTTCATAATATTTTGACTTGTTGCAAGCACTTAAACCACATACATTCTACAATTAAAATATTAAACTTATTGTCTATTAAGTTAACATTTTTATTATTTTATTTTGGTAAGTAGAAATATTGAGAATTAATATAAATTTTGTACAATCATGTAACTGTTAGATAATATACAGATAAAAATATAAAACTATGAGATTTCTAAAATTAATAAAAGTTTTATGGGAATAAGGAATTTAAAACTTACAACATAGCTTAACATTTTCCTTCTTACAAACAACAACTCCAAAAAAGTTTAAGAAAATTCTATTTTTTAGCATAAATTTTTATTCGAGGAAATTTTCTGAATTGGTTAATATACTTAACTTGATAACTAGAAATCAATAAAATGTAACAAGTATAATTTCAGAGTTACCCATAAGATATTTTAAAACTAAATTTTTTAATTGGAAATCAATGAAGCCTAACTGTTATAATTTACTTAATACATATTTGTCAACAAGCAATTAAAAGAAGAAACAAAAGATCTAATCCACATAAATAAATAAAAAAATATAATTCAAGTAAAATACTAACCGAACTCTGTTTTTTACATAGAGTATATCTTCAAACTGGTCAACAAATTCATGATGTTTACATTCAGAATTTCTCCTTTTGATGATTTTATCGCTTTTAAAAGAAATAGACGATCTCGCAGAGTCAGGGTCTCTTACTTTTTCAGGAGCTATTTGAGGTTCTGTTTCGATTGTAACACTTTTGGGAGAGGATCGGATATTTTTTGAAGATTCTAAATGATCAACAGGTAAGGGACATACATTTGCAGATTTAGTAACTTTTAGATGAAAGGTAAAGTTACCTAAATTTGTATCACGGTGAGTACCATCAAGTGAAATATTAGACAGAAAAGTAAGTGCAGCTAAGCGCCGGCGGGAGTGAATTTTTTTAGAAATGCTACTAGTCATCTGCGTATAAATTTCTGCCCAGATTTTTAATAAAATTGTAGAATAAATAGAAATGTTAATTTCTCTGAGAAAAATATATACTTAAAACACAAGAGTTAATAATAGATATTACTAAGCAAAACCATAAACAGCTGTTTCCACGAAAAAGAAAATTTCAAAACAAGAATACGAAACTAGAATTATCCCTTTATTAGCAGGCGGAAAATATTTCCCTCCCATGAGACAGATTTTCCCTTTTAATTGTATCGTTTGATATCGATCATAACGATATGAAAAATGTGGAAGAGATATCTGAATCTACTTTTTAACTAAATTATTTCACGCATGATTTCTAAAAACTGCTTCTAATATTAAAATTTAATATTTTAACTTAAAAGGTGTTAAAAAAATAATATCTAGAGCACCTATTCATTTTAAAAATCTAATAACCCATACTTGGCACTGTTTTTGCAAGAGAGATATCACGCCAAGTATCCTGTTAAATTGACTTTTTTATTGGTTTTTCGTCTTAGGTAAATATAGTCAGCCAAATCTGGTAACATAGCTCCTAGTAAAACCAATCAAAAATTGCTAACAAGTGTACGTTGATATTTGGTCAATTTAGGAATTGGTAACTGGGCGGAGTGAGCTTGACGCTAGCTTTTATCCATCAATCTTCTTATAACCCTATATTGATTGACCCTGCAAACTTTTTCGCCAAAGCAATTGGCGTTGTTTAAACAAAAGCTATTGCTAGAGGAAGCCATTTTCTGTATTTGGCTGCGCGGGATTTCATATTTTATCATCATGAAAGTTTTAATTACAGGTAATTCTTATTAATTAAAGATTTATAATATTAGTGTACGTTTCATAGCAGTATATAAAAAAATTACATGAAATTTTTAAAAAGATTAATGAATTTTATTAAATATCTGTGAATACCACGCGTTAGATTTTAAAGTAAATAGTTTGTAAAATGTATGTATTTTAAGAAAATCGTTATAAAAATTCATTTATCAAAGTTTTTCTCTGCTTCCTTAGAAATCCTTTGTTTGATCTGCCGAAATTGTGTGAAGCAGTTTAGTAATGAAATTTCATTTAGTTGAATTACTTGATTTATGTTTATTTTAGTGACATAATACAGAGGTATCTTTTTTTTCTATGAAATATATTGCTAATTAAAATTTATTTTATATAGAAAGATTAATATTGAATTTTCTTAAAAATAGTGAAGAGGNTTTCGCCTAATTTCTTTTTTAAACACAAATCTCCTCTTTTCCAGTGGCTGTTTACGAAATAAATGTAAACACAATCCATCAATGAACCAATTGTTTCATCACACCAAGTACGAGATTACGCGAGAACACAGACAGGCGTGCACAAAATTATTGAAATTTTTATTTTAATTCACAATAAACGCGATAACTTCCCAAATTCTTGCAACTTGCAACCATGAGTGATAGTCAACAGCCAATCACAGTGCGAAAAGCCCATTGATCCAACGTTATCATCTCCTTGTTGCCATTCTGTAGTAGAAACTATGGTTTAAAATTAGTTACCAATTCCTTAAAAGATAGAGACCCGTGTACGTTTAGCTCTTTGTTCCCCCACCCCCTTTTGCGACAGCTGGTAATTTTTGTCCCAAGGACAGCTGGCAACACTGTTTTTCTCGTCTCGTTGTGAGCTCCTTATTATCTCGTCTGCAACTTCCTGTCTGGTGTCTGATCATTTGCTGATCACCATTGATTTGGATATGAATAGCAGACGATGAAGAAATCGAATTTTTGAGTAACATTCTTCGTTGTTCCTTCTTCATTTAATTTTCTTTAAAATACTTCAACATGGATGCTGGGAATACCAGCACTTATCGAGGTAGTCGAATGAATACCATGGAAGGTGTTGGAGCTCGGGTGATGCGAGGTACAGATTGGAAATGGGGTAAACAAGACGGTGGAGAAGGGCATTTAGGAACTGTAAGAAATTTTGAATCTCCTGAAGAAGTTGTAGTTGTGTGGGACAATGGTACAGCTGCCAATTACAGATGTTCTGGTGCCTACGATCTAAGAATTGTTGAAAGTGCACCAACAGGTCTGCATTTTCAAATAAAAAACCACATATGCTACCCTCTTAATATATTTTGCATTATTCAGCATTGTTTATCTATGTCACTTCTCCTATTATTATATAATTAACTTATAGATCTTTACAAAACTTGTTATTAAGCTTTTAGAGGGATTTATAACATTTCAAAAGCCCGTGTGAAATAAAAAGTAGTAAAAAGATGTAAAAAAGATTGGACTTTGTTTACATTTACTAATGTTTGCATAGCTTTATTATTATTTTGAAATGTGATAAATAATTGAGTTATTCAGTGCTATGCACAAATGATATGAAATGGCTGTGATTAAGGAACTATTTCATTACATAAATATTAGTTAAGTGTAGTAGTTATAGTAATAGTTTAACCACAGTAGCAATTGTAGTTTTAAAACAACAAACAATCACTCACATGCTTAACTCTTTTTTTTTTCTTCACATCTTTGTGTTTTAACAATATTTTTAAAATTATTTTAAAAAAATCAAACGAAATTTGGCACTGACGATTCATAAAAGTTGCTGTAAGATCAAAGTCGAAAGTTGTCAAAAAAAGCTGATTTTGACATCTTTCATATGATGTTTACATCAGTTTATAATTTTGTTTTATGTTAGAGTGCATTATTTTTATTTTCATTAAATGTAGAGACTTTTGGATTGCAAATTGTGGTTTGGAGTATTTACTGCATATAAAATATTCCATTTTCCTACTATATTATGATTTATTGCTAGGAAATCTCACTTTTAAGTCTTTTTCCTGTTTTCTGTAAGAACATGAATATCTCCCTTTTTGTTAGAACTCTTGTATTTGAACAATATTTTTTAAAAAAATTGAACATTGAAGCTTTCATAACTTCTCCTTTACTCATAGAAGTCTCAACATTCTGGAGAATTTTGTAATTACAAAATGTGTTACAAAAATTGATTTATTCACATTTTAGATTTATTCACTGTCTCTAGTTCTATTGTGAAAGCATATCCAGCCCATAATTTCAATTATTAGGCAATTTCAGTAACTCAAAAATTATACTAGGACAAGAAATAATTGTAACATTTTATTTGCAAGTATGATAATGGAATAGATCAAAAGGTAGTAAAATAAACTACTAAAAGTGATTTAAATTTTTTTGTTAGGGCTGTGAATACTTCTCTAATTTATTGAGAGTATTTCTACTTGTTTCAAAATAGGCTTGCACAACATTTGCTCCAAACCTTCCTAATCTGCTGCATTTCATCTTTCAGCTGATTTTATGTAAAACATTTTTAAGACAATTTTGCCAATTGCTGCTTCAACCAAATCTGTTGAAATGTAGGCAATTTTAAAAAAACTCAAAACATTTTCCGTTGATAGTTGTAAATTTGAAACAAAGGGGAAAAAAATTGGTGTTATAGTTACTTTATAATGTAGCTATGTTATTGATACTGGGTTAAGGAAAACACTGACATTTATTAGTAATTAAAATTTCAACCAGAGTAAAATTATTTAAACAAAAAATTGACATTTTAGACTAATGAAAATTGCTGATCCAACCTGCTTCAAAACTCACCTTATCACATTGCATTTTAAATTAATTAAAAAATTTTTGCTTTAAGTAATTAAGTTGGAATAATTTTTAAATTTGTAGATATTATAGACCCATTTATATCTGTTTAAAAATGTTTGGGATAAATAATGTTTTACTTTTGCAATTTCTATAATTCCCCTTTATAACTTAAATGAGTGCTGTACTCCTTCATTCCCTTTAAATTTCTATGTATTTATTTGTATTTGCTGTCACTACACCATCTTGTTAGTTTCTGACTTATTTCTAATTATAAATTTTCATGCCAATTTTCAATTCACATGTTACCAATTAAGTTAATTTTGTCAATATCTGTTTATTCGGACTGTAAAAAAAATAAGTATTTTTTGTTTGCATACTTTCTTTGCTGGAAAACAAGCCAGTTATTCAAAAGTAATGGCTATTAAGTTATTTAAAAATTTGTTAAGAATAAAATAATATTTGCTTGTTTAAAGAANTCTTTAACCCTTTCGCGACGCAAAGCGCGAAAGCGCGCTTACCGCTGAGGCCGGCAGTCTCTCTAGCGTTTGTCTCCCCAGGGCCGGAGTGTTTTTTGATGTTAAGCCTAATTCCATGAAATTACCGAAATATCAGCGCGTTGTTTAATATTGTTCTGTAGAGTATTTAAGTGACATACGCTTTATATATATTTCTATGGATACTTTATTTACTTAAGTTATTTCTTGTTTAAATGTAATATAAATGTTAATAAGTTTAAATATTTTGCATAATTTCCTCTATTTCCAGCTAAGTTAAAATTTTTCGACGCTTCCACATTCTAACGGTAAAAAGAAAAAAAATTTAAGCGTACAAGATCTAATTATCCACTAAAAACTAATCCGAAAATCGAAAGTAGCCAAAGATAAAAAAAACTCCCTTACTTACTGTAAATAAATATCACGTGCTAATTTAAAGAGCCCTCATAAAACATTCCCCCCTCCACTCCTTCCCCTAAAAACCACGTGAATGTACTTTCATCTTGAGTAGAAGGTCAAATCTACATGTATCTGAAACCATATGGATATACAATGCCATCTTTTGGAAGAAATTTCATTTTTTAAAACGTTCCGAAACGCTGGCACAAATATGTGACGGTCGGGGGTGAACGAGCAAACTCTCTGACACGCGGGTGTGTCGGCCGGGAAGTGAGCGCGTTTCTTGCTGTCACATATATGTGACAGTCGGCTCGAAAGGGTTAAGTTATTTAAAAATTTGTTAAGAATAAAATAATATTTGCTTGTTTAAAGAAACTACTTTTATCAATTTTCTACTTTTAAACTTTAAATATAAATGATTATGTCTGTTGAATTCCTCCTTCTAGTTATTTTCTAAAATTAACTAAATAATGAGGCATGGAATGGAGGTGCTTTTTATATTTTATTGTTAAAGACAATCTTGAAAGTCCAGTAAAAGATGTATCTAGAGTTTTATGGAATAGTGTGATAGGTTAATATAATAGAATGATTATGCAATATTTGGTCTAATTGAAGTAGATTGTAAATATTTTATTTTGATGCTGACCTCAAGGTTGTTATCTAAGTGACATATCAAGTAAAATAATAATTTTTGCATTATATGATAAGAACAGCCCATGGGAGGAGATAAATCCCTCTCAACCTGACTAATCAAAAGCCAAATTAAAAGTTGTAGTATTTAATCAACATATTGAATATAGGAGAGGGCCATTATAGACGTGTTTTCAAAAAAGGATACTGCCCCCAGAGAAGCCAATTCAGCCAACTTCATGATATCTCATGTTAATATTTAAGTAATTAGGCTGAAGGTTTAAGGCCAAATATTTCATTGGATATCAAAGTAAGCCTAATAACATACATTCTAATGTTTAATGTGTAGAAGAAAGAAAGGTTAAAAATAGATTTTGATCATCAGTTGTCGTGAAATTGAATAATTAGTTAATTAGTTATACACTTGCATTTAAATAAAAAAGTTAGCCGTTACATATAGTGAGAATATAAATATTTACATTCATTCTTTATAAAATTAAATTAAAATTAATTAAATAATTTATTTATTGAAAGCGGGATTAGGAATGCTTAAATTTATGAAATGAAGGAAATTTAAAAGCTAGGTAATATGCAATGATTTATAGTGGCATCACAGTTAAATTCATTAAATGCATGAACTTTTATGTTTTTCATAACTCATAAAATATTTTATGTCAATATAATTATCATTGTAGGCATTAGACATGAAGGCACAATGTGTGATACGTGTAGGCAACAACCAATTTTTGGAATCCGTTGGAAATGTGCTGAATGTACAAATTATGATTTATGTTCCAGTTGTTATCATGGGGACAAGCATCATTTAAGGCATAGATTTTTTAGAATTACTACTCCTGGAAGTGACAGGTAAGAATTATTTTATTGTGTCAAGTCTTGGGAATATATAGTTATTACGATTACCTTCTGTATTTACATAGGTAAAATTAAGTAAGTTTAATTATAGACTAATTACTGAAAGATTTCACCAGTTTGTACGTATACATCTTCACTGGTCCTCTCACATGCCTCTGTTGGATTTTATATTATAAAATACCTTAAATATGTTGAAGCAAAATGTTTTAACCAATACTATATTAATTCAAATAAAGCTCATTGTTTAATAAACAAGTTTATTGTTCTATATTTACCAAAAGTCAAACTTTATATGCGAAGTTAATAAAAGTTATTTTAAGGGAAATTAGATGAAAAATTTCAGAAAAAGTGTAACATTGACAATTATAATGAAAAAGCACATTTAAATGCATTGACAAAAAATTTCATTATCTGTAGTTATGTACATTAGAAATTATGAGCACATAACTTTCTGACTAAGGTCTTTTAAGACTATCAAATCCTATTTTATCTGATAATTTTGGTAATATTTTGAATCTGAATCTTTGTGATTTTGCTGCCTTTTACTCTAACTGTAACAAATCCTTATTTTCTTCTTCATCATTAGCATTAGGAGTTACTATTTTTCTTCTCAAAATGAACTATATTCGATATTTTTAAATGCCATTAGAATTTCTGAGTGATAAATGTAGGAACCTACCTAGCTTAAAAAAAGTCTAAACCGGTATCATTAACATTATAAGAGTAACATTTGTGATAAAACCTTTAAAACAAGACTATACATACGGGAACAATGGAACGAGGTTTGACTGCTCAATTTTTTTAAACTAATGACTATTATTTCTGTTAAAACTTTTTGTTTTAAATATTTATAGAGTATTAACAGATCCGAGACGCAAGAGTAAGAAAATTGCGATTAGAGGCATTTTCCCTGGAGCTAGAGTTGTTAGAGGAGTTGATTGGCAGTGGGAAGATCAAGATGGTGGTAATGGTAGACGAGGGAAAGTGACTGAAATTCAAGATTGGAGTGCTGCTAGTCCTCGTAGTGCAGCTTATGTTATGTGGGATAATGGTGCCAAAAACTTGTATCGTGTTGGATTTGAAGGAATGGTAAATATTATTCAATCTTACATTTGAAATTCCACTAGTACTGTTTAGTCTAATTGCAGTTGCTTCAGTTAATTGCTATTGTTTCGGACGCGATTGTCACTAAGCAATATGCCATAAACTGAATGTCAATAATCCACTGACAGTATTGACATTTCTAAATATTCACATTTTTTTATTCAACTGCAGTTTAGGCTGATTACTTCTTGAATCACGAAACCGATATAAAGTGTCATTATTCTCCACTCTAATTCTAGATAAGGGAGTGTTTAGGAACGTAAATTTTTTTTCGTGTATAAGTTGACTTCTTTAATTTTTTTCATCAGTTGATAATGCTCCATTTAATTTTGTAACAAACAATTTTATTTCATTTCTGAGTATATGTTGCATTAGTTTTAAATTATAATCCTCAGGATCTGCGTACGTCAGAAAATTAAAATTTTGAGCTATACTGAGGGTGCTTCAATAAATACATTTTCCAGGTATACGAACATTTTACTATAGATAAAATTATCAAAAACATATAACAATTATTATCAATCAAATGAATTTGTACAAGATTCTCTTATTTCATTGGTAAAGGAAGAAGCATACAAAAGATGTAAAATAACAAAAGCAACAGTGTTTAAAATGCTTGTTTTTCCAAGGCTTTATCCAGATAAATTGTATGATTAAATGAATGCTTTTAACTATAGAATTGCACAGTCAACTTAGTCATTTGATTTTATACAGTTCAAAGTATCACATTTTTAACAAATCTCACATCGAGATTCATATTCTTACGATTCATAAATCCTTTCATTTTGAATTTTAGAGGAGTAAAGTTTTATAAATGTTGCACAGCATATAATTAGCTCTTAACTTAAATATAACCTATGAATAAGTAGCCACAACAAAACTAGTTAATGAAATATTTACTAATTAATTTATTACGAAACTAGTTTGATAATGCTGAACACATGATTACTGCACATGCACATCCATTCCACTTACATTGTACGAGGTAACTTGATGAGAAAAACAAGTGAAACAAGAATTGCTAGAAAATCACTACTTTTCTACATACAATTCATTGTAAAAAAATAAATAAATAAATAATGCGCATCTCCACATGTAAAGATACACATCTCCAATTTAGCAAGATACTAACATGACAAGTTAAGACAAAGGTTTGTTGTTAAATGCCTAGCCCTATCTGAGAAAATATACTCTATGAAGGCTGTCAAAACTACATATCTCACTAATCAATCTACATCAAAATGTGAAAACATATTTGTTTTGTTTTCGATAAAACATAAACAAGCACTTGAGCATACTGTTCTGTTTTGCATTCTCATGATTTAATAATCATTTATAGCGTGTCATAACTAAGCAATTTGTATTGATGCAGTTTAGAAACCATGCCTCTTGATTAGTATGATCATTATGATTAGTATTATTGATGTTTTTGGGAAATCAAGATTTATATTTCATGGATTAAAAGCATCGTGAATAAAAGTTTTCTAAGAATCTACTCTTCTTATATTTGCCCTGTTATTCTTAAATTTTTTGTGAATAACTGTGTGTGTATATATTGAGTAACATAAGTGAACTTTATGTGTATATATTGAGTAATATAAAATACCTACTTTTTAGGCTGATCTGAAAGTGGTTAATGATGCTAAGGGTGGAACAGTGTATAAGGATCACTTACCTTTGCTTGGTAAAGTTTTGTCAATAGTTCATTTATAAATGTAGTAACTATTAAGATATTTGTTAATTATTTTCTTCTAAAATATAGGTCAAGGTCCTGGTCGAGCAGGTATTCATGGTTTCCAAATAGGCGATAATGTCAATGTCGATTTAGAATTAGAAATTGTACAGTCTTTACAGCATAGGCATGGTGGTTGGACTGATGGCATGTTTGAGGTGAATTATTATATATTTTTTTCAGTAAAAAGTATTCTACTTATTACCACTGCAGTTTGTTAACTAGCTGGAAAAAAGTGACATAAATGCAAAAATAAATTATTTATATAATATTGCTGTTAAGTAGTGTATTTAGTTCCTAAAAATATAATTTTTGTTTATAAAAATATGATTTTGAATTTTTTCAAAAAATGAAGCAGATATTGTATCTGGTAATTTTTTTTAAAGACACTTATTGAACATTTTGAAAACTTAAATTTTATATCTATGTAATATTCATATAACACCATTTAGAAAATAGATGAAACTATGTATTCTAGTCAAGGTGTGAAATGATAGTTAAATGTAATTAATATTTTTTTATTTGCTTTTTTTTATATTCATTGTATCGCACTTTCTTAGAATTTTAAGTTTTTTGTTAAAAAATATACAACTGACATTTTCAATCATAATTAGTACATAGCATATCAATTGAAATTATTTGTATGAATTACACAAATTTATTTTTCCAAAAATAGAATCCTTCATCATGTTAGTCTAATTTTATAAGAAGCTGTAATCTTTTAAAAATCGAACTATTGACTGATTCCTAACTAAAATCTGCATAGCACATTGTTATTTTCTCTGTCATAATAAATTTACTTTCCTCCATGTTAATTGAGAAACATTGAAACTGTTTTAATTGATCAAGTAATGTTCCTGTTACTGTGAATAAAATGTTGAATACTTTAGTATTTTTGAATTTCTGTAAATTAATAAGGTTAATTTAGGTTAGGATCACTTTTTTCGATTTAAATTCACAAAGTGTCTTATTTATTTAGTGTTTGGGAACTACAGGAACTGTTTCTGGCATTGATGAAGATTCTGATATTGTTGTTTCATATCCGAGTGGAAACAGGTGACTTATTTTACCTTGATTTAAAATTTTAGTTAACTAATGGTTTATGTATAAACTAATTAATGTTGTGCATTAGCTAATTTTATATGTAAACTAATTATAATAAAATTAGTATTCGTATTTGAACTATTAACTGTTAGAATATAACTCCTTATTTAACTTTATTTTTGAAAAATCCTATATGTAATATAATAGATGCACTTCTAATTAACTATTCTAAAATTTTGATATTAATGGTCTTCTGTTTATATTCTTTCTTTCTTTCTGTTATTTTTTATCCTTTCAATCATATTAGTATTTTATGTACTCTTTTTCGCTAAGAGTTTCTAAATTAGATGGTCGTATCATTCCGAATAAGTGGTTGATTTATATAAATTGTGCTCTAACGTATTGTTAGTACATTTTACTGTTTTGTAGTATATAGTAGTTTGTGTGTGTACAAGAAATATTATTTATTCTTCTCATTATATTTTTCAGCTTGCAGAATTTTCAAAGATTAATTTAATGAGTGGTTGAGAAATCAATAAAAATTATTGTAAATAATCTATTAGTTAATAATAGTCTAACTAAAAAGTTAAATTTTCAAATAAGTATATATTATAGACAAGGACATATAATAAAGATTAAATTCTTAAGTTAAGCAATTACATTTTCAGACTAATCTAATAAATATAGTTCTTCATATTTTGACAGGCCATGGTAGCCCAGTAGTTGGATAATCTGATTCCGGTTTGGAGGAGCCGGGGTTTGATCATTGACTCTGCTAAGACCCACTGAATACATGCAATGTGTACACTCGTAAACTCTTTGAAATCGAAAATCCTGTGTTCAGTCACCGAGCTGTATCATGGGTACAAGAATTTGGAAAAAATTCCTTTCCCATTCAGATCTTTATCTAATTTGAGGAAGTGGCCTCATAAATGAAATCTCCTCTGCAGAGGATCAAAGTTGTGATGGCATGTCTTCAGATCATCCTTAGGGATGTTTCCCAGATTGTTGCCAATAACTCATTACAGCTCTAATGTAACATAAATTAAGTACCTACCTATCTACCTACTTAGAAATGATTTTTTTCTTTTCTAAAATAGTGATAAATAAAATTTTTATTAAAAGCAAATTGTTGTCACCAGTTTATAAAATGTTCTTTTGTAAAATTGTATTAATTAAATTTATTTTCTTAATAACAATAAACTTGCCAAAAACTTTTTTTTCTATATAAAACTTTAAACTTCTTCAAAATCGTTATGTACTTACTAATACTTGGTATATAAAGCTAATTTTAGTTTACTGCTTAATTTTAATAATGTTATGACGTTTAAACTAAAGTGGCTTAAAGCTGTAAAAGAACATGAGAAGTGCTTCCCCTGTGATCTTTGTTAAATTTGCTTGCATGTTTTTAACCTTAATGCATACAATTTCTGAGCAAAATTCTTTGAAATTCATTTACTGAGTTAAAGAAAAAATTTTTGATTATGTTAATCTGTGCTTTAGTAAAATCTAAAAAAATTTTTTTAGCAGCAACGAAAAATAGCATTAAAAAATTTCTGACGATGATTTGTTGGTTTTTACTAATATTTTTGCTGCTTCTTTCAAATTTGAGACAATGATTGTTTACTATATTCTTCTATAACTGGTTAGGCTTAATTGAGATTGTATTTAGTGTAATCCTTAGTTTATTGTTGTTTTAATTTCTCCATAATTTAAATATTACAGGTGGACATTCAACCCAGCTGTCCTCACTAAAGTAAATACAGCATCTGCTGCTTCATCTTCAGGTGCAGCTGATGGAAGTTCTTCTCAGTTTGCAGTTGGAGATTTAGTTCAAATATGCAGAGATTTGGAAAGAGTTAAAATACTACAAAGAGGACACGGAGAGTGGGCAGAAGCTATGTTACCGGTACATACTTATTGTAATTTTGATAATTTGTACAGTTTGCTCTCTTTCAAATTTAAGACCTTCTTTTTGTCGCAATTTTATTATGTTCATAAATTTTAAAGTTTCTATTTTATTTTTTATAAACTACTTTTCATACTAAAATGTGTTACTTTTTAAATGTCTCAATATGCTAAGGAAATGTTTCATGTGAAATTTAGAAGCAAAATTTAAATTTCAAAAGGAAAATATTTTCTTTTTGTAGATTTTAATCACTTTTAAATAAGATTTCTTGATGAAATTTGTAGATTAACTCTAAGAGGAAACCGTTTGTTAATTTTAAAAATATTGTAGAATAATTCCTAATGATTTGGATCTTAAATAAAAAGGAGGAAGAAAAATTTTAAAGTAAAATTTCTATTGCATCTATTAGAGCCAGAATTAATTAAATTTTACTTAGTTAAATTTAAATTGCAGACTCAAAGCTATTTTGGCTGTAAAATAAAATAAAAGTTGATTTGTATCAAATTCATAATTAAAAATATTTAGTTATAAAATTAACATACTTAGCATGTATTCATCATCATTACTTTCAGTGAGATTTTTAAAATATAATGAATTCAGGATAAAACAGTTACAATATCATATATTATAAGCAACTGAAAAATAAACTACCTAAACATATTACTAAACAACACATTTGAAGCTTTATTTAATTTCCTTCAGCTCATGATAAAACATTATTAATGCGAAGATAAGTTAAAAAAATTTTTTACAATTACAGAATGAAATGAAAATTCTTGAATGAAATCGGAAGGAAATTGAAATTAATTATTCCTATAAATTAATTATTCCATTTAAAAATCATAAACAAAAGTCTTCATTTAATACAAAGAAAAGGATTTGTAATTTTAATCTGAAATATTTTGAAAAAAGGTCAAGTGAATTGTCATAGTAAAAACAAGCATTTAAAAATAATTATAATAATTGCCTTTACTATAAATATTTATGGAAATTCTTTTATAATTTTGTAAGTTCAAAACAATTTGAAATATTGTACGATTAATTTCATATGGCATGAATATGTTATCATGTAAAAATGTAATCCTTTTTGTAAATCCCCATAATAAAGTGACATTATAGGAGTTCTTTCATTATCCTCTTAATAAATATACAATTGATTCTCTTATGATAGTTAACTTTCATTATCTTCTTATAGACATTGGGAAAAATTGGAAGAGTACAGCAAATCTATCATGATAATGATTTAAAAGTTGAAGTATGTAGTACTTCATGGACTTATAATCCGGCTGCTGTAACTAAAGTTGCTTCTGATGGTGCAATACCTGGAACTTCTAGTGGAGGTCAGTGTATTTTGTTTCACATATTGTTGTGTGTACAATCTTGAATAAATAACCAATTATAATAATTTTTTATCTTTTTAATAGAAAGAATATTAAAAATCTCTTAAATTCTTAGTTTTTCTGAAAATAAATCATTTATTGCTCTTATTTTTCTTATTAAGATAAAAAGCTTTATTTAAGCATTGTTAGTAGCAAAAGTTAGTGAAAATATGTTTTAATGCCTTTGTTAAAATAAAATTAAGCAAGGGATCAATTTGTTGTACCCATCTGGGATTTTAAACTTTTTTCATTTTCATACATTTTTTTAAAATATCTTACTATTCATAAAATAGAGAATTTATGTATATAAGTGTGAGGTGATGTGTGCAGACAGAAGACTTCAAAATGTAACTTGACCCCTACGTGTATACAATTTAGCCTTATTTTTAAATAATTTATTAGTTTTTTTTACATGTGTTTGTCATTTTTCTTTTGGTTTAGATATTTCTTATAAATGTGTAATGTGTTAAACTATTCAACTAAATGATAAAGTAAATCTTGATTTTAAATTTAACATTGCTATCTGTGTAGTAGTATCAAACTGTGTAAGCTTAAAATATTTTATTTTAATTTCATTTTAGATTTATCCTGAGGAGAACTTAATTGTTGTCCGTGTTTGGGAGATTCCTTAAATTGAGCTTGATTTTTCTCTTAACTATTATAATACTGAACTTATGACTTTTCAAATTAAAAATATTAAAAAAAAAAAAAAACAATTATAAAGCTCTTAATTTTACAAAACAAGTCTCTTGTAAAAGTAATGAGAATTAAATAAAGCAGAAAACATTTTATTCAAAATGTAATTATTATTATTTTAAAATATTTGTTCCAAAAAGTGTAGGAAATGTAAACTATTTAAAATAAAAAGCTGTTAATAGCTTTTGAAAAAAATTTTTTGTAACTGTCATATTTTTTTTAATAAATTTTTACGAAGATTGTAAGACTCATTATTACCCCATCTTATTAAATTAGAGGTCACAAACAATCAAGAAAAACTTTAGAGAATATTTCATCCTTATTTATTTAATAACAGACTGAAACACTGTGGTAGGCTTTGTAAAAGAAAAGTCTTTTGCCATTCTCAAAAGAAATTCTGTTAAAATTGTTTCTAAAGATATACAATTTGAGAAATAGATAGATTTCGCATATTCTGATTGAAGTTTTGAATGGAAAATATTCATCTTATTAAAAAAGAAATTTAAATTCAAATACATTGAAAGTAATTTTTTATTTTATTATTTTGTAAAGTCCTCTATATGTTTTTGTTTTATTTTCTGTCTATTTAGAACGATTAAGTGCTCTTTTAAAGAAATTGTTTGAAACGCATGTTTCTGGAGATGTAAATGAAGAACTTGTAAAAGCTGCAGCTAATGGAGACGCCCAAAAGTGTGAAGAAATTTTAAAACGCTCAGAAGCTGACGTAAGTATAAAATACAGTAAAATTTCAGTTATTGAAGCTTATCACCAAATCAATGAATTAACTTTAAATGCTTTTACCTTCCCCCTTGAATAGTGATTGATTTTACAGTTAAGAAATAATGGAATATGCAACTCTGACTAAATGAAGTACAGTGAAACCTCGGAACAAAAATTGTCCGTTAACGAAAAGGGTACACTCATAACGAACTAATGCTGTACATTTTTCTGGAATAATTTAAACGATATAAAAATAATTAAATAATATACATAACTATTTACAATGATATTTAAATTTAAAATTTTTTTTTTTTAAATACAAAAAGAATATATGTAAAAGGTGGATATATAAACGTAATTCTAGATGTAGCTAAAGAGAAATGAATATGTTTTTCCTATTTACACAGACATATATTAGCTTATAGTCCTGCATCTCTTCCTCTGCCAGTTTCATTATTAGGTTTACTCCCATAACACCCACGCTTCACTTGGTAGAAAACGGGGTAACACCTCCTTGAAGGTAAACCTCCTGGGATGCACAGAAAAAAGAAAGCAAGAAGCGATGCATATTTGAAAGGCACGAGGCCCTAATGATTTTTATGAACCACCTCTATGACTAGATTTTTTCTTCAAATTGATTTGAAGAAGAAAGGCATTTTCAGGGGGAAAGAGGAATTGAGAGCATTTGAGGAGTGATCTCAACTTGTGAGGTCTCATAAGTTGTGTCATCCAGATGAAAAGATTCCGCTGTCTGAAATATTTCACATGAGCAGTATCATTTTGTCGCCTTTCTTTGCTTAGATAAAGGAAAATGACAGGAGAATGATTGGTATTTTAGTAGTGAATTAGCTTAACAATTTATTAAGTTATGAAATTGGCAAAAAAATATACATGCTTAAAAACGGTGGAAAATTGCATTTTTCCCCTTAGAGTTTAAGACAGAAATAGTTTTTATTTATTTATTATTATTTTTATTTTTTCAGTTTTAGAAAAATTGATGTTTGGTTTGAAGGGATAAAAAGTAAGTTTCGGGGCATAAATGACCATCTGCATTCAGTTACGTGAGTGTCCGTTTTGCGGAAAAGGTATATGATGGATTATTCAGAGAAGATTCGCGGGGAATTAAAAATATGTCTGTAATGAGAGGCATCCATTTTGTAGGAATGTTCGTAACATGAGGTTTTACTATATATAAAATTAGGTTTTATTAGCTGTGCATAAGTTGCAAGTATGTAGGACCCATAGCATAAAGTAAAATTACAAATAAAACAAGAAAAAAAATTAAGAAAAGAAATTTTAAAGAGAAGGAAAAAAAATTAGAAAAAATAAACACAATTTTAAAAAAATAACAACAAAAAGATACAATCACATCATCAGCTCAAGTGATTATACTTGCTTTATTATTATAGCCAAAGCAAAATATATCAATATAATAGTGTATACTCACACTGTATATGATTAGTTAATTGAATTTTGTTTAAATCAACTCAAAAATAAAAATTTCAGAGTAATGAGGCCCTGTTGTCAACTGTCTTAAGCCCAAATTAAAAAATTGATTAGACTGGCAGATAAATGAAACAGGTGAAAACCTGAATGATTCCAAAGCTCAAGCATTGTGGTACTTATCTAAAAATGAAATGGACTAAGACCATTAACTTTCTAGCACTGGGATGGTAATGGGTTGGAGTCATCGGTGCAATAAATAGTGGAATTTTATTTTGAGGGGGGCAAGTGGCATTTTTATGTTAGCCCCTCCAATTGGCAAAAATTAAGAAGGTTTTTAGCTCTATTCTGGAGGGTGGGAGATGCAACTAAAAATTGTGTGTCAATCATAAAATGCAGGAGAATTGATATGTCTATGTTCTACAACCATATTTTAAACATGGTTCTTTGAATATGAAGACAGAAATTTTGAGTTATTAAATTCACGCTTTGCGATTTCTCGTCTCCAGAAATGCTAAAGCATGAAAGAAGAATCTCAATAATCTACCAAGTGATCATCTGTTCAGCAATTAATTATTTTTTTAATGTTATTGTACGCAACCACAAACAAAAGTGTAAAATGCCATTTTTTTTAAAAAAATTAATAAGGTGAAAAGTTCTCTGACAATTCCAGGTTTTTGAGTAAAATTATGTTTTTCCCTGACTAATTTTGTTGTTAAATTTCATTTTCCATAATATTTCCCGATATCCCAGATGCTTGAAAACTCTGTGGTAATGTACAGATTATTTGATAATATGAAAATTCCTATTTTTTGTATCATCTTAAAATACAAGATATTGATTTATACAAAAGCATTCTAAAGATTATGTCACAGTTATACAATTTTTGCATTAACTTAAATACATTTTATACTTGCAAAACTAATTGTCTATTTGCATTTTTGTCCAAATGTTTTTTCCCCCTCCACTTTGAATACCTATTCTTTTAAAAAGTAATGAAATTTGATGATTGTGAACTTTAAAAAAAGAAACTATGAAAAATGAACTCTTTTAGGATAAAGTATGATTCCATTCATATTCATTTAGACAAGAATTTTTTTTTAAATTGAGACAAGTTATGCTCTTTTTATGACTTTCTAACTTTTCTTTTTTATGACATTATCATATTACCTAAACAAACTATATTATACTCTTCTTTCACATATTAAAAGATTGTTATTAAATGCTTAGAATTCAGCTAATCTGTTCTTATGTAATTTTTAATCTAGGTAAATGGAGTATTTGCTAGTCATACTGCTTTACAAGCAGCTAGTCAGAATGGACATATAGAAGTTATTAAGATTTTATTACGTCACAACGCTGATGTAGAAATTGAGGTAAGTTTTTCAAAGTTTTTTTTATTATTTACCTTTCTTTTGTGTGTCTTGTTGTGACTATATGATCAAAAATCTATATGTCTTGTTCTGACTATATGATCAAAAATTTAAAAGGAAAAATCAACTTACTGCCATTTTGTTGTTACTGATTGTTAGATTCTTTATTACAATTAAAAACAATTTGGTAAATTTTTGTAGAACATTTAATTGATTATGTAGTATCTTTTTTTAATTCTTTTTAACTCTTTTATCAAGTTGGTACCCATTAAATCAATCTGAATTGCTATTGCTACTCAAAATTATGATAAATGTTTTAAAATGTGTCAGAATCTTCTTTTGAAAATGGAAATAAGTGTTTATTTTGTTTGCATAACATATTGCTTAATATTTTAGAAAAAATTGAACTGGAGCAAAATATTATGTAACTAGAATTTACACTTTAAGCATTCAAACTTTTAAAGGAATGAAACATAGTTAATTTCGAAATTTGAATATTGTTTTTAGCATGTTTTATTTTTAATAAACTTTTTTTTTTTTAAATTACCTACTTAATTTCTGAGTGGCCATGAATCTGGAAGCATGTTTCTTCACCAACTCTATTCCTTATTAAAAGGTTTTCTTAATTTTTAAGGTAATCTTGAAAAATGAACTGGTATTTATTCCTTGTTTATTTGTAATGTAGGATAAAGATGGAGATCGTGCCGTCCATCATGCAGCTTTTGGTGATGAGCCAGGAGTAATGGAGTTGTTAGCTAGAGCAGGAGCTGATCTCAATGCTCGAAACAAAAGAAGGCAAACTCCTCTTCATATTGCTGTGAATAAAGGGCATGTTGGGGTTGTTAGAAGTATTCTTGAACTAGGTTGCCGTCCAAGCCTGCAGGTGAATATTCTTCACACTACTCTAATTAAGATGCCAAAATTAATATTTTGAGCTACATTTGAATGTCTTACATCATGCATATTATATTTAAGCAATCTTGAAAGTATAAAGGGGAAATGTACAGTGTGCTAAATAAAAAACAGACCATTCTGAATAAATTTTGATCTGATGATCGGATCTTCACACTCTAGGATTCAAACTTAATGATTCAAGGGGGTGATTTCAAATATGCAATTTAATTAGTGCGGACGATATCTTAAGTTACGAAATCAGACTCAAAAAAGTTTTTTCTCTAAACATGCTTTTTTTTGTTGTTGAATTTGGATTTCGAACCCCCAAAATATAGGGGGTTATTGCAATCTGGGAAATAGGGTCCCCATAGTTTGGTTGGGAGAGCAGCCCAAAGTTTGGACCCTTAATGTTAATTTTATTTTCTGCGTATTTCCCCTTATCAATTGAAACATTTTGGCACACAATTATAAAATTTGGTTAGTTTTTTTAAATTTTATTTCATAATGATCAGAAAAATTTCAAATTGTGAATTAAGAGTGCAACTTTTTAAAGAGTAACGAAATCTGTTCGAAATCGAATTTTTTGAAAAGTCTTTAAAGGTTTGATTTCTCAGGAATTATTCAACCAATTTCACTCAAATTTCATGTTTTGCCATGTAAAATTATATTCTTTAAAATTATGTAAAAAATTGTATACCTTACTATTAAAAAAAATTTAAACTAATATTAATTAAAATAACAAATACTTATTAAAAGTTATTTTTTGCTAGGAATTCTCTTTTGATAAACAAATTTCATAATAGTGTGCAAAAAGTAAAATTATATCAAGGGGTATAAACTTTGGCCCACTCTCCTGGCCAAACTATTAAAACTACCCCTATGGTTTGAAGGCCAGAAATCCGAATCCGTTGAAAAAAATGTATGTTTATTTAGAGAAAAAATGTTTTTGTGTCTGATTTTAATTTAAAATATCATCTGCACTAATATATTAGTATCTTTGAGGTCACCTCGAACCATTAAGTATCCTACATTACATACATTAGTATCCTAGAACAATAAAGATCTGATATTTTTTTATTTTTCCCAATGTTTATTATTTAAGACATAAAAATTTTTGAGGTATTTACTGCTTCAGGAAATACCTCAAAATTCAGGAAATAAATTTCAGGAGAATAAATGCTTTAATCATTTAAATATGAACAAGAAGAATTAAAATGCTGTGCTAACGTGTCTTTATTTTTAAGCAGGCTCTTAAAAAATTAAAGAAGTTTAATTTAAAGCTAGGTAGGAATCCTCAAATTGTGCCGTTTTATAGATTTTGTCTCAAACTAAAGTTTCCTCATTATTAATTGCAAAAAATTACACTAGTTTTTATTTTAATTTTAAAGAGACGAAGGTACCTTACTTTAGATTCATGACATGAACTATAAAAAGTAAAAGTTTATCGCAAAAAATGGCTCTTACATTAAAATTATGCCATAGTTAAGAATTATACATTACTAAAGAATAGTTTAATAATAAATAAAAAATGTTGTAAAATTTTCATATGATAGTTAGTGGAAGACCAACATTTTGAAAATATACATTAAAATTTTGTACATGCTTAGAATTAGTAATATGTATATATATATTGATTCTGCTAGCCTTTGGAAGCTATAGGCCCTTAGGACCAAAGAATTCCAAATTTCTGGCACTTTTTTTACTAAAAACAAATCTCTATTTAAAATGATACCATTTAAAGGTATGATGTATAAAACATGAATATTTCACGATAAAGAAAATTTTTATTAGTAATTTATTCAGTAATTATTCAACAAAGAATTAAAGCGAATATTTTCAATCAATTGTTCTTAAAAGATCAAACTTCGAATTTATTTAAATTAATTGTGTTAAAACTTTATAATCCAATAACTATATAGTTAATTTTTTGAATAAGAAATAAAAACTGATAACAATTGTAAAGTTCTGCAATTTTGTTGTAATTCTTCTGCATTTTAAAGCATTGGAATTGGCATGTATGGAAAAACAAAATTATCTTGAGTAATGAAAAATTTGATAGATTGAAATTAGAGCTAAAAACTCATACAAAGTATACGAGGTTTGAATCATGCATATGCTTATAGTCAAGGTTACTTATTATTGAGTGAATGCTTCACTCTAAACTTTTTTAATAACCATAAACCCATCCTATAACTTATTACTGTTACCCCGATGTAGTACATTGGGGAACAAGATATAAAGAACTTAATATTCTCAAGCTATTGCAGTTTTTTTTTCCTTCTCTAGTTAAATAATAGAATTTCTAGTTTTTGATAGAGATTTTTGCAACAATGTAAAATGAAGAGAACTTGAAATAAGTCTCTGCCTAAAAATTGTTAGTCTATTAAATTTCTGAGTCTTGAAATTTAAAAATTTGTCTTGATTGTTGTTTCAAATTAGGTTGCACGTCGCTTTGGTATATTTGACTTTAAGAAGAAGAAAGAAGAAAAAAAAATTTTTTTTCACTTTGTTGCTGAAAGGATATTAAATATAAATACCAAGATTTTAAAACTTCCTCCAACTGTTAAAAAATTATTTTAGAAGCTTGTCTGTAATTTCTTTCTGAACTATTACTACCTGCTTACTTACTTTACCTACTGGTTTACTTAAATTTTACTCTGTTTATTGTTTTAAATTACTAATTACTCTTTTTTTTTAACTTATCTAAGTTGAACACACGTGGGGCAACAATTTGTTGTTTAATTATTCTGGTGGTACACTTATAAAGAGACAATTGTTTCTTCCTCTTTGGCATTTGGTTAGCAAGATCAACATACGAAGGTGGTCAACTTAACAGGTTCCACTGTATTTCTTTTGGCCAATTTTTGATGAATGTAAATATTATAGTATCAGAGCTCATTCTAGGCAGGGTAAACAAGGCGCAGCACCCTGCTGCCCTTTTAGTTGAAAGAATCCACTCTGTTGCCCCTGAAGTAAATTAGTGCCCTGATGTAATATACTCCATATCCTCTTTCCTTAACCCTTTATTTTTTCCTCAAACTCTACAGTGGATTTCTTAAACTTTTGTTATTTTTAACTCTTTTTATTTAGTTTGTCATTGCTGTCAATACACAGATTTATATGGGAAAGGAAAAATAGCCATCAAACCCCCTTGTTGCAAGTGTCTTTGAAAGTTTGCAGTTACTTCCACTATCATTAAATCATAATTATTATTAATCATATTAATTATTAAATCATAACTACAGAAACTCAAAAACATACATTTATTATTTTATTAATCTGTACATGCATTTTAAATAAATTACTAAGCTAATTAGCTCATTAACTCGATATATATGTTAATTTAGTAATAAAAATTAGTATTAATGATTGCTTTGCTACTTATAGTAAAGTAAAAAAAAAATTCTTTTACTAATTGACAATGTTATTTAATAGAACGTGCAAAGCCCATAGAAAGAAATTATTGCCTTTTTAGAATAATAATGCCCTTTTTTTAAACTTTTGCACCATGCCCTTTTTTCTGCCTTTTGGTATATTGATAAAGACTTTTAGTTTTGTTTTGCTCTTTTTATTGAAATAGTCCTAAAGCATTAAAAAAATGGTTTTTAAACTTGCATCAGGTTAACCAAAAAGTACCAAAAAACTCTTTTCTATTTGTTGAATCAACACTTTAATTTAAGATGTACTAGGCTTAACCATGTCTCTTAGTGACTTAATTATCAGCCTAACAGTGTATTATAATTTCAAAACACTTAGGTCTCACAGCTCTAAACTTAAGTTAAATTTCTAAATCTTGTTAGATTTTCATCAAAATTAAAAATAGGATAATCAAAAGTCTTATGTTTATTTAATCTATAATTTCTCAGTATTTTTAAATGAGATTCTCGTTTGAAGATTACCTTTAACCTGATTAGTCCTTTAGGTTTACGTTAACCTTTTTCAAAATTTTATAATTAATTGTAAAAATGTGAAAGTATTTACAAACCTCACTATGCACATCCACTAGACATGAGTGCACTTCGATCTTTGACCAATTAATAATATATGATTATTGAGACAAAAAATTCATAAAGAAAACGTGTCTAAATTGTAGGATANTTGTAAGTCTTTTCCCATGTTAACTGATAGGGGAACTGTGTGTAGGGGAGAAACATTCTCCCAATTTTGCCCATTTCCTTAACCGCCAGTGGGTTAAAATGCAATTACAGGATAGAGTATTAAATATAAATTTTATTAGATAATAAGTTACAACATAAAAAGTAATTGCATCTCCTTTAAATATACAATACATATACTATGCAACCAAAATATTTATTTAAAAACACATTAACTTTATTAAAATTAAACTTTTGAGGAAAAAAGTTTTTAACTTCTTTTTTACTTACAATTTATGACAAAAAATGAAGCAATAATTAAGAATAAGGTATTTTTATTTTAAATAATATTCCTAAAGCTTATTAAGGTTGTAAATGAAAGTCTTAGTTAAAAAAAAAAAGCTTTCTTTTATACCCATAATCATCTAGATACCAATACCAGAAGTTATTTTTGACTCAGCCTAGTATTAAACATAATTTAAATAGAAAGAGTTACCTATACCTTGAACAGATGGAAAATTTTTTATTGCTTTTATAGATTTGTCTTTTTTTAAGGGAAAAAAAATCCTTATAGATCTTTATAACAGAGTGAGGCAGAACTAGATAAAAAATTAGATAAATAAAAAATAAATTAATTTATAAATGAATAATAAATAACAGCAAAAAGTCTGTAACTCCAGCTGACAAAATTTGAGCAAAATTGCTTCAATAGTTCTTAAGAAATCGAATTTTAAAAAAGTCGTTTAATGATAATTTTATTTCTCTGGTACTATTTGAGCGGTTTCGCTCAAATTTCATACTATACCATGTAATTTCATGTTATACCGTGCATATATACCATACAAACTTTAAAATTATGCAAAAAATTGTATAGCTTACAATTCAAAATATTTTTGACCATTATTGAATAAAACAATAAAAATTAATGGAATTA